CAGGATGATGATCCGGCAAACGGCGAGCCCTGCACCTTGGAAAATCGATCTCACTGAACACGAAGACACTAATGAATAGCGTCGACGCTCCATTGGGTGGTAGTAAGATTTTCATAAGACGGCTGGTCGCAACATTATTTTACGAAAAGAAGAGAAAAAAAAAGACGGACGAGACAGTTATTGGCGACATTGAGAATAGGTGCAACATGATTCTTTTTCGTTCTCGGAGCTATGAACCGGGAGTGGAGGCGAAGTTCAGATGGCGGGGTGTAGTTCTTGCAATTCTTGTAATTCTTGTAACACAATAAAGTTATTTTATTATCGTCGTATTAGCAAGCTGACCGTTGCCCAGATGATGAATGACTCGGCACACTGCATAGGTTTCCGACAATGATTGGCTACGTTAAAAAGAGAGGAGGTTAGCAGCACAAAGACAAGAACATAGTGAATGGAAAGGCGGTAGATTCTAAAACAAGGGCTGATAGCTGGATTCCGCCCTTTGCAACAAATAGAATGGCGGAGACTGGGAACGAGGAACATACACTATGTACATAGGGTTATCAACCCACTGGTCGTGAAGTAACTTTAAGTATGTAACTTAAGAGGTAAAGTAAAGATAGATCGAGTAAGTCGACGGGATTGGATTGGTTCAAAATTAAAAAGACAAAGACACGATAATCCAATAGACATGAGAGGATGAGAAAGAAGAGGTTTAACTTTTACAAGTTGTAGCGTCTACCTAGTGTATGAGGTTAGGTTAGGTTTGGTATGTGAATGTGCGTGGCATACATGTACCACTGGAACTTACACGTACCTAGTAGGCGGTACTTCATGTATGTACATACGTTGCAGCTGCATGATGTTGTGGATATGTGGGTAAGTATTGTGGTGGGATGTAGGGTTGTAGAGGTACCTCAGAAGTTACGCTAGCTAGTGAATGCAAGCGCGAAGATACTTAGCTCGTACTTCGCACGAGTAAGGCATCATGTGGATTCGATCGTAGCCAGGTACATCACTTTCCCCCCTCCACCTTACCCCCTGGCAGCCCCTCTTACCTTCTCTAGTGTAAGGTCCATCGCCGCCCACTAGTAGCGGTACTATGGTAGCTACTATGTTACGTCCTCGTACATGCTGCCTCACTTGGTAACAACCAAGTCTAAAAGCCTATGCCAGCACCAGTGTTCTTTCCGTAGAAAAAGCCATACCGTAACAACCCTTTTACCTTTAAAAGTCCCAGCTTGACCCTCCCAAACCTCCCCCCAAACAAGTTCTGGAAACTCTATCCTTTCTTATTAAATCTATCCCCCCCCAAAAGCTTTCACCAAGCTCACCGCTATTGACCTTCGTTTTATTATTGATACCCTGGGAAGACCCTCTAGAGCTACCTAAGTAGGGAGAAGAGTGAATCTCGTAGTTTAGGCCAGAATAACCTACCCATATTCCTACTTTGCTGCAACAACAAACTGAAGGCAACATGTGGTATGTGAATTCGATCGAAAATCCTTTCTTTTGCTACGCTCTACGTCCCTCAGAAACGGAATGGGGCTTTGTCCTATCCACGATTCTGGCGGTCAACACAATCCCATGGTTCGAACTATGCCGTCACGGTTACTCAGACTTTGGGATGAGGTTGTTAGGATAAGAGCAGTTTTGGAGGATTAATCTGTTATAATCAATTCAGGGGTGCTAATTCGAGTTTTTATAACAGTGGAATTTTTGGCTACATCAACTACTTGGTCGAGAAGGACCGGAAGTTTATCCTCGACACATTGGTGAACGGTGAGACACGATAACCTGCCGCATCCCGCTCTCCTCGATCCGCTCTACATGATGCCTGCATTTTGCAGCATAGACTTAAACATACCAAACAATAATTAATGGAAACTTGAAAGCTGACAACTGGCTTTTTATTAAATAGGTCTCTCTCGCCTAGAGTATCGTGGATATGACTCGGCTGGTATAGCTGTCGATGGCGACAAGAAGAACGAGGTGCTCGCTTTCAAGGAGGTCGGCAAGGTTGCTAAGCTCAAGCAGCTCATCGAGGAGTCTAAACCAGATCTCACCAAGGTTTTCGACTCCCATGCCGGTATCGCCCACACTCGATGGGCTACTCACGGTCCTCCCTCCCGGCTGAACTGCCATCCCCACCGGTAAATACCTTTACATAGTAGAGCTTACGAGTCCCCTTGCTAATCCGACTGTCACTTCCAGATCCGACCCCACATGGGAATTTTCAGTTGTCCACAATGGCATCATCACTAATTACAAGGAATTGAAGACCCTCCTTTCCGCAAAGGGCTTCAAGTTCGAGACCGAGACCGACACAGAGTGCATTGCGAAGCTCACAAAGTACCTATACGACCAACATCCCCACATTGACTTTGTCGACCTTGCTAAGGCCGTCATCACCGAGCTCGAGGGTGCCTACGGTTTGCTGATCAAATCGGTCCATTACCCCCATGAGGTTATTGCTGCTCGCAAGGGCTCACCCCTTGTCATTGGTGTGAAGACACAAAAGCGCATGAAGGTCGACTTCGTCGATGTAGAATATTCCGAGGAAAATGGTGCCTTACCCGCTGAGGCCGCCTCGCAGAACGTTGCCTTGAAGAAGCAGAGTAATAACTTGTTAGCTCCGAGCTCCCTTCTTGGCGCCCCCGATAAATCTCTGCTCCACCGTTCGCAGTCTCGAGCTTTCATGACTGATGATGGCTTGCCCATGCCCGCCGAGTTCTTCCTCTCATCTGACCCTTCGGCTATCGTTGAGCACACCAAGAAGGTCATGTACCTAGAGGATGACGACATTGCCCACATTCACGAGGGCTCGCTGAATATCCACCGCCTCAAGAAGGCTGATGGCAGCTCGAATGTTCGTAGCATCCAGACTCTGGAGCTTGAGCTCCAGGAGATTATGAAGGGCAAGTTCGACCACTTCATGCAAAAGGAAATCTTCGAACAGCCCGAGTCCGTCGTCAACACCATGAGAGGTCGTCTCGACATCGAAAACAAGAGCGTCACCCTTGGTGGTCTAAGATCATACATCGCTACTATCCGTCGATGCCGACGTATCATCTTCATTGCTTGCGGTACAAGTTATCACTCCTGCATGGCTGTTCGAGGTATCTTTGAAGAGCTCGCCGAGATCCCGATTGCCGTAGAATTAGCTTCCGACTTCCTTGATAGAGAGGCGCCTGTCTTCCGTGACGACACATGTGTGTTCGTATCGCAGTCCGGTGAGACAGCCGATTCTCTGATGGCCCTCCGATACTGTCTAGAGCGTGGCGCCCTCACTGTTGGTATTGTCAACGTAGTCGGCTCTTCTATTTCCCTCCTGACACACTGCGGTGTTCACGTTAACGCTGGTCCTGAGATTGGTGTAGCCTCCACCAAGGCCTACACATCGCAATTCGTTGCCATGGTTATGTTTGCCTTATCTCTTAGTGAAGACCGAGCATCCAAGCAGAAGAGGCGCGAGGAGATCATCGAGGGTCTCTCTAATATTTCTACACAGATCAAGGAGATTTTGAAGTTGGACCAGTCTATCAAGGAGCTCTGCTCCAAGACTTTCAAGAACCAGAAATCTCTACTTCTGCTGGGACGAGGCAGCCAATACTCGACCGCTCTCGAGGGTGCTCTGAAGATCAAGGAAATTTCTTATCTTCACTGCGAAGCCGTCATGTCTGGTGAGCTGAAGCACGGTGTGCTGGCTCTGGTTGACGAGAACCTCCCTATTATCATGATTTTGACCCGTGATGACTTATTTAAGAAGTCGCTAAATGCTTATCAACAAGGTACGTGGAATTTACATCCTTATAGTCTAATCTGAGCCAATCCTAACAAATGTATAGTCATTGCCCGTGGCGGAAAGCCTATCGTTATCTGCAACCCTGGCGACGAGGAATTCCAAGCAAGTCTCGCGCAGAAGATTGAGGTTCCTAAGACTGTCGACTGCTTGCAGGGTATCCTCAATGTCATTCCGCTCCAGCTTATCGCTTACTGGCTGGCCGTTATGGAAGGCCTTAACGTCGATTTCCCACGAAATCTGGCTAAGTCGGTCACCGTTGAATAATCTTGAGCGTCTGTCTGTATGATTAGACTGGTTATCGGCGGTTTATGAGGCAATGCGGGAGTTTACTACAAAGCGATATCATGGTGGGCAGTCGGATTCGGGGCCCTTAAGAGCGCTCTTTGTCTTATATACATGATAGCGGGGTTGTGATTTGTTAAGGGGGTCGGAAGAAAAGATAGGTGCTATCTTCCGTAGTCCCCGACGATGTATATTGCCCCTCCCACGCCTACTCTTGACTTGGGACAATGTACTGCAGAGGAGGCAGATAGGCGATTAGCCATGTACGTCGTCTGGGCCGACCTAGACGAAGATACAGCGAGGAATAAAGAAAAATCAATAATGATACAGCGATGCTACTGGCTCGATTCTTGAGATGTAATCTGGTTATTCGTTTGATGTGAACCCCCGTATCGTGGAAATACTTATGAAGTACGATGGTGCTACAATGTACCAACTAACGGTTGGCACGACGTGGGAAGCATTTGCACCTATACTTTCTAATTTGCATAATTGGCGATGGGGATGTTACTAGGTATAAACCTGGGCCGCACCGTGATTTCTGCATTTATAATAAATAATAGGGAATTACTCGTCAACGCAATACCGAGGTTCATGTGTCTTGGCTCTAATGATACAGAATCTTATTGCTACCCTGTTATTCCCTTTCTTTAGTGGATCGGAAGGCATTGCAACCCTGGAGCAACCAAGTATATCTCCATTGTTCACTTATTTAGATAGATATAGATGATATCGTATCTCGCATGGCCCCCAATGCCGACGAGAGCGGTGATCTTATGCTCTTATAACCCCCTGGCCTTTCGTCTGCATTACGGCAATTCTAGCTGGTAGCACCTTTAGTAACTAGCATATGTGGACGTAGACGTAGACGTAAACTTGGAGGAATGGGCGGCGAGTAGGTAGGTAAGATGCGCGGTTACACGGTCTGGGTACCGTAGCCCTTGATGCGGTCGGCGAAGGCCCAGCTCTGCTTCTCGAGCTTCTCGTTCTCGGTGAGCTCGATGCCGTCTTTGGTGACGACGGCGAGGGAGTACGTGTCGTGGGAGCGGGCGTCGCGGTAGAATAGCACCTTCATGCACTCCCGGATGACGTCGACGGCCTGCTCCCGCGTCACGTTGGCGACGGATTCCTCGTCGGGCACGTACCGCCGCATGATGGGCTGGGCGAGCATGCTGCCGAAGCCGGTGGCTAGCGAGGGCGAGGAGAAGGTGGTGCCGAGGAGGTCGGCGGCGGCTAGGAAGGGCTTGCCTTCTTCGTCGAGACCGGCGACGAGTAGGTGGTTCCATAGCGGGTCGAACTTGGAGCGCCGGTGGTAGAGCAGCTTCGATAGGTACTTGTGCAGGCTGCGGGCGTTCAGCGTGTGCGCCGTCTGCTTGTAGGCCTCGTCGATGCCGAGCTCCGTTAGGTGCCGGTCGAGGTACTGCATGTCGGAGACGTCGCCGCCGAAGCCGACGATAGAGGTGTCGGCGAAGGTGCGGATGCGCTTTACGTCGGTGAAGCGGGCGAGGGAACCGTAGGAGGCTTGAGGGGGGGTGTGTTAGTGTTGAGTGTTTTTGGATCGAGGTTGGTGGGGGAGTGCTAGATAGATAGGAGATAGATAGAGGGATAGGTGGGAGGATAGATATATGCGTACCCAAGTTATCTGCTGCCATGACCACACCGTCCTTGAACTTCATGGCCACTACTGATGTTCCCGTTACAACGGGGGACTGGGTGTGCTGGTTGGGACCGTTGGTGTGCATGTATGAGGCATCGTAGGCGCCGTAGACGTCGTCTCTGGGCTGTGTAGAGTCGGGTTTGTTAGTCAGTCTACTCTGGTTCTCGACTCTGGACACACAACTTAGCTACTTACACGGCCCCAAGCTTGCGGTCGATGATCCATATTGAATTGAGTTGGACGACGGGATAAGGTTCGAGTTGTCGAGTAGTAGGTCGCTTGTGGAATATGAAGTTAGTTGTAAGGCTGATATTGATGGATGCAGCGAAGCTCCAGTATCTTTTGGACGTTGAACCTCTGGAGCTTGGAGCTGCGCGTCAGTTCTGCCTTCCGGACCAGGCTGTTGAGGTACGTACCTTCTACTCTACCTAGGTACATCTCTTGATGCTGAGGTCATCAGCTGTCGGCAGCTGTCAGTACTGTCAGTCTAATCTGTATACACTGTATCAAGACCCACTTTTAACTCAGGATACGTACCGACGGACGTTAACTTGTGATGAACTTGCGATGAACTCGCGATGAGAAACTTACTACATTCAATGTGATATTCTTCCAGTTCGTGCTTAAATAATTGTCTAGCAATTTACCTTCATATCAAAGTAGCACCCCCCGACTTTGAATTTCAATCAAATCACTAGTCAGACTGGGCCTTTCGCTTCAAAATGGCAGGTCTTGTAGGCTACGAAAGCAGCAGCGACGAGGAAGAAGTCGTGCAGCAGCAGCAGAAGCCAGATCAAAAGGTATGAATGAAAACATGAGATGATATATACAACTGCACCGGTAGGCATTGGACAGCACTGATTATGCCGAGGCCAGTCGCTGAAACAAACTCAAGATACCACTACCGGTCTGGATAGGAAGCCAGGTAAGTGTCTTCTCGTATTATCTATCTTACCTTGAGTATCTCATCCCTTCTCTGACAAGTGAACAGAAGAAGTCCCAGCACAACAACCCAGTGCTACCTCACAAAAACCAGATGAGCAAGCAGCAGCCATCATCGGGCCACAGATCGGCCCAGCAGCAGCCGCAGGTCCCAGCTTCCCTCCGCTGGAAGAAGCACCACTAGAAGACGACGAGGACAACAACAACAACAACAACAGCCTCCTCAACATACCCCCCGGCTCGCCGTACACGGCAACCCGCGCGCTCCTGCGGGACCTAACGCTGCCCCCGGTCCCAAACACCGCCATCCCGCCGTCGCCCCCGGGCTCGCCCGCCCCGGGCACAAGCGCCAAGTTCGAGCGGTTCCTGGAGCTCAAGCGGCAGGGCGTGCACTTCAACTCGCGCGTCGCCGCGAACCCGTCGCTGCGCAACCCCGCGCTCGCCGACAAGCTGCTGTCCTTCGTCGGCCTCGGCGCCGCCCCGGCCGACCAGTACGCGACTGCCCTGCCCGCGGATATCTGGGACCCGGCTGCGTTCCCGCGCTGGGCGTACCGCGAGCAGCTTCGGCTGAGCCAGGCCGAGATCGAGAAGGCTAGGGCTAGGGGTAAGGGCGCGCCGGTGGATTTCGTGGCGGCGGTGGGGGATGGGCTGGGTGGTGGTGTTTCGCAGGGAGGGGGTGCGTCGAGGGCGAGTGCGAGTGCGGGGAAGCGGAAGACGAGGTTTGATGCGTAGGGTGGATGTATTAGATTTTTTTTACGGCTGGCATATTTATCTATATCTTGAAGGGAGAATAGTCGATATGTGAGTGAGTCTTGAAGATAGTTCATACTATCCATCTATAAACTCCAGGCTCTAACTATTCTTAGGTAGTTGGTCAATTTCAGATACCCATTTCCTCATCCATTTATGTGGTTCGTGTTCATATTCATGTTTATTTAAGTATATTTGGTATAGTAGCGACATAAGAAAATTCTCATATGGGACCAGCAGTCCCAAAGACTAGACTACCTAGGATATCGTTCCGCGATATGTATACAATGAGTGTGGTTCCTAGGTACGTCAAAAAAAGCATCCTTATTCCATTTACTTCAATTTAACCTTTCCAAGCAAAACGTGCGCTCTTCGTAATTCGTTATGTATGTATCAGCAACGCGCTCAGAATCTTCCGTGAGCATTGTCGCACTCCTCTAAGAATCGGTAGATACCTTCGAGGCCCTCGAAGTCTTCCGAACAGTGCTCACCCGAACTGATCGGTGGCGACATACTCTCGTACCCTTCCAGGTCGTCGGGTAAGGACATCCAGGGGTTGTCTTCCATCTCGCTGAAGCCCTCTTCGAAGAGCTCCTTTTCTGCAGGGAAGAAGCTACCTTGAGACCTTAACGAGCGACCGGGCGAAGTGAGTGTTCTTGCGCCGTTGCTATTGGCACCGGGGGCGAAAGGGAACCTCAGTGCCATCGAAACACCTGTTTCAGCCGCGAAGTCTGGGTCTTCCCTTACGACGCCCCTTGTCAGCCCGAGGTCATCACACAAGGACTCTACGGTCTCAGCGTCGACGCCTGGGAAGCGGACCCGCAGTGTATGACCTTTCTCAAGCTGTATTGGAAGGTCGCCTAGTGAGGAGAGTTTCTTAATATCCGCTAAGGTCGAGGTAAGGTCCTTTAGAGCGCGGGCGAAGTCGACCGACAGAACGTCGAGGAAGCCGTCGGTGTTGAGGGTCGTGGCATCGAGGGCGGGGAACTTGAAGCCGGCGGAGGGGTAGGGGAACGCAGCAGCGAGGGGGCTGAGGGCAGTGACGGTAGGGCTCAGGTTGAAGTCGATGAAAGAGCCTGGAATGTTGCGCTTCGCAGACGCCATCTTGCGGGTAGTCTCTTCTTGAAGAGATGAGACCGTGCGGTATTTCCTCTCGCCGCGGGCGGTAAGCCCGTCAAACTGTGCCTTCTGGCCGGAGATCCAAAATGCTCTGACCGCAGCCGAGACGTTCTGGACAACCTGGGCCTGAGCCGCGGGTGCGTGGGAGAAGTAGCGAGCTCCGCCCACACGTCCGGACCCGAGGCCATACCCACCAGCGGTACGAGGGAGGGCACCTCCAGTGAGGTTCGGTCGCAGGGTGCTAGCGAAGGGGGCACGACCCGTGATCTGAGCAACAGCACGACCGGTCTGCGTGTTGAGGAACTTGGACCGGTCGACCCGGGGCGCGGCGTCAAGCCGGCCAGTGCTCATGAAGCGACGGATCGCAGCGTTGATGTTCTTGTACGTAGTAGTCGTGGTGGTGGTCGAGTGCCATCGTCGGGATTTCTGCTGGCGTAAAAACGCGGAGGGATGGATGGGATGGCGCGGGTTGGGTGCGTTGCGTACGAGGACGGGTTCGAGGGCGGCGTTGTTGGCCGGGCGAACCGCGGCTGCGAGCTTGGCCCGGATCATCTTGCTCGCCTTGAGGGCGGCAGCACGGACGACCCGCAGCGCGGCGGGCGCCAGTATGCCGCCTCCACCGACAGGGGCGAGCATCGTGTTTTCCACTTGGAGTTCGTCGCTATGCGGCGAACTGATGAGTGAGAAATGGAAGTTGGTCTAGGGAGGGAAGAAGGGTAGAAAGTAGGCGGGCGGGCGGTGACGATGCTATTTACACCCGATAAGGAACCTTAGATAAGTAGGTGTGGCGCAGCTATGTATAGGTGTACAAGCTTCGCCACAAACTAGTCAGATACCTAAGTCTCAATTTGGAAGTCTCCGAGGCGGGTCCAGAGTTCCCCACCCAAGCAATTTTTATTTTAATTTTCTTCCTTGGAACCTCAAGAAATCTTTTCTTTCCTTCCAAACAACTTTCCATCTTTGCACATTTGCTCAAGCTTTTGAGCTTCTGTGACTTGGATGGAACGCGAGTCACGGATCTCAGTTCCCTATTCTTAGCAGCTATTTAGTTATGCTGTGTTATTATCAGGTTAGTTCCGCTGCTCCTACGTCTTCCCGATGCTCTTTGCTATGACGAAGGAAAATTTGAACAATCCAAATCTTACAACACAATGGGGATTAAGTCTCTAGAATTACACTGAGCAAATACCATCGAGATGCATTTGCAGTACGATCACAACGATCAATTGAATGCTAATTCGACTTAGATAGGTTCTTGTTGATCAGCCGGGTGACTCCCTCTATGATTTTCCAATTTATATATAAAGGTACGTTATTTTTCTGACGAAGTCGAGAAATTTTCATACTGTTTCCACCGAGGGGTGATGAAGAAATCAACAAACCTAGGGAATTCCTCATTCCGAATACATCATGTAGATTTTGTTTAGTTTCAGCCTTGTCTGACCTCATAACCTATTCCACTCGTTATTAGATGACATGCTTGCGTACCATGCTAACTCGTCTACTCCAATAGGTACGACTTATTCTACTACAAACCCATGCCATTCACATGAGGATATCTTGAACGAACGGGCGGACATAAATGAACCCTCGTCCCTTTTCTCGTTCAAAGCGAGGACGTACAATCCTTGTGAGAGAAGGATCGCGGGGGATTCTTGTTGAGACTTCGTCAGCTGATTGTGTCTTGTCGACTCGAGCGTATCATCGTTAGAGGTTTTGGGGCGTAGCTAACGTGTCTCGACAGGTATTGCCATCTCTATTTTCCAGTTATTATCCTCGTAAAATGATGATCATTATTCACACTGTTTGATCCTGTCCAATGGGCTTGGAAATGAACATTACAAAAAATTCTGATTTAATGAGGTATGCGCCCATATGGATATTGGTTATTAGAACTAAAGCTAACATAAGTAGACTGATAACTTTTACTTCTTTACACTCTGCTCATTGTACGCCTTGGTTGACGTCGCTAACTCGACGGTCGCGATAGGTAACTTAGTATTTGCACATTTTTTGAAGACGTCTTACGCCTTGAAGGTTAGTAACTTCTCTCTATATTTATATGCAAGCCTCGCGGATGACAATCTTCTGCATAATGTCGGAGTTCTTCATGACGAAACTTTTCCGTTCTATCACCTTGGAGAACTGAAGAGGCTACAAGCATACTCTTGATTGCATATATTATATTGTCAACATGGCTAACCTTTCTTAGTGATTTCGTAGTTGCTCTTGCACAGAGTTGTGTGGGCTTCTACTTCGGAGCATTAAGCTATTGGATCAAGTAGCTACGTGTTGCAGTGGTTCCGCTGACGCGTTTGGGTTAGGGATGGACAGGCAGTTTACAATCCTTCTAGGCATATACAATGATATAATCATATTACCTAAATAAGTGTTATGAATTACCTCGTGTTACCTCTATAATAACTGTGTCTACGTGTGCATACATACCTCTATCCAGATGTTAAGTTACTTTCTAGTTAAAGTTACTTCTAACGAGCCGACGAGTCGGTGTCTTCTCTAAGTGCGAACGCCGTGGGGCTTGGATTTTCTGGGGAAAGTGGGTCGTATTACCAATTGCCGCGTCGACTGGGGGTCTGGACCCTGTTGCATCATGCATCTACACTACCTCTTCGGACCTCCTACACAGGTATGTGCAGCTATGTAACCGTACGTTCTTTCTCTTGTGATACACATGGATACTATTAACGGATGTCTTGCTACTACCTAAACATTGAATGTCAGAATGTTTAAGATAGACTGAGATCCATGGATGCTTGGTCTGGACCAGGCTTTACTATTAATGTTTTCGTATCATTTTTCGTACGATATCTTTGTATACCTACTTCAGATTTGGTCACATTGTTCGATTCGACGAGTCAACCCCCACTAGCTCATATAGCTGTTGCATCGCCAACGGGACTTACATATGTATGTACATACGATAAAGTAAGTGGTGTCATGCTCAAGCCACCGTTCGAGGTAGCGGGGAGTGACAATCGAAATGCTCTGATTCGATCTTATTATGTACTGATATGAGCTTCCGAGATCTCCTTGTCTTATTACTTTTGCGGGGTAAAAGAGTGGCCGTTTTTATTTGTACATCGCTCCCCTATCAGGTAAGGATGGAGCTATACCTCGTCTATGACGTTGGTCTATCTGAGCGAGGATGTATTGGTACATGATACCTCGTACTTCAAGTACGGCTGTTTCTTTATTACTAGGTCGTCATATTGATGTATTGTATACCTCCTTCGGATAATGCAGAGGACTAACCTACCTACACTAACTTGAGGTCGTACGATCTAGGCAGCGAGGAATTGGGTCGAACGGTAGGATAGTCAACCCGAATGCCTCAGTCTATTGGTGAAGTCATAACCGGGACTGTATCCCCGAGCGCTGGGTGGCTACCTATGTATGTAGGTCCCTCGCTGATCAATCAACGGGCCCGCTCCAGACAATGGAAGGGTGCAGTAGTTGGTAGCTTAAGTTAGTGTATGGATGTATGTACTTGCATCTATTATCTTGCGTAGTAGCTTCGATAGGTAAGGTAGGGTAGCTATGTGTTGCTAATCGCCGTTGGCGTCTGTCGTCGTTTGATTATGAAGGTCGCGTGGTCTGTTCCATACAACTGAGTCTACATAAAAGGGATCGATCCCTCCCTTTCCCACCTTTATCTCATTTTCCTATCATACCCATCCTGCTCATCATTCGGACATCCCACACTTCTCCTACGTGGATATTACTTTGTGAAATCGTATCATATCATATCATATCAAATATCAAGTTGATCGACATCAGCAACTACACTTTACCTTTCTCCATCCCTAAAATCATCAACATGGACAACGACAAGGCAAACAACCCTACACCGGCGAGTCCTTCTCGCCGAAGAGTATGTTCTTTATCCTCTCCATACTATATCGCCTTGAACGACCACTCTTCCCAATAAATTTCGTTGCTAACACGCACCACCTCCAGGGCTCCGGACCATCCTTCGAGGGCCTCATGAGTCAGAAGCGAGCTAGCGATCCCAGCTCCCTTGCTCGACGTGCTAGTCTACACGACCAGAAGCCCCAAGCAGGCTTCTTCGGACAGATGTGGTACAAGTAAGCTGCCTCGTATCCGCTCTCTTACACGTATAAGAGGAAACCGTGCTGACTACGACTGAACTACAGCTTCACACGCGGCCCCCAAAGCCCTACGAAATAAGAATCGCCTACCATGAATTAGGTACCTGTTATTATGATAGCATAAGAATTGAAAGACTGCCAGAGTGTATTGATGGGGATATAAATCCCGACAGAACTATACCACGCACACGCACGCACGCACGCATTTGGCGAGACATGGGAGAACTGAGATTTCAGATACCAATCATTGGTACAGGCTCATCAGCCAAACTGTAGGATATGAAGATAACTGCCTGCAATGTTGAGACGGATGGGAAATAAGATCACTGGCGTTCGCTTGGCGATGTATTATTGTTAGGAATATGCACTTAGCAATATCACAAAACAGAAGTTTACAAGTACTTGACATGGTTTCGTCTTCTATACCGTTTAACGTTGGTGAAATAACACCACTGATCCATGATCCGATTACGTCTGTTGGACATTTGTTGAATACATATGCTCAGTCAGCTACGTTCGTCGTGAAGCATCTCACTACCGTGTGGTCATAGTTAAACCATGTCGTGACACATAAGGCTAATTAATCCACTATGCTTAAGGAGTTAATAATAAACATACCATACTAGATCAGACGGATTTTCCCCATGCTCTGATGTGTAAATTTTATTTTAGGTACCCAGAACCGTAATTAGAATGGTAGGCTTACATCACCAATTCGAACACATCACAGCAAGGAAACTCGTAAAGAAACAAGTGGAAGCAATGTCTGGCTTGAATTCAAGCTATCCAGCACTATCCTACGCAAGAGAATCCAACGGCATCCCACTTAGACAGAATCCCCCACTAGTTGCTTCCTATTGTCAATTTTCTTAGTTTTTTCTTCTTTTTTTTCTTGTGTTTGCTTCTTTTCTTTCCAATTAAGAGAAATGCATATCCTAAATGTAAAATATAAAATATAGATTTTATTTTATAAGGAACCTGCCACGTTCCCAACCGCGAGATAATCGAGCCGGTTGTTTTGTATCGCCCGGATCTGACGCGTTTTCAATCGAGCCGGGGGCCTTTGGGACAGTGCGGGCGAACCCGCGAAACCTGTCCGCAGAGAGACGCGACCAGCCCAGCCCCAAGTCAGACAACACCTACAGAAACGCTGCGGCGTTGTGGACCTTTTGCCTTCCTACCAAAACTAGTTCCCACGCCTCCGGGTGGCTTCGCACCGGTTCCGGGGACGACCCGGAGTTGGTGCGAAAGAGGCAGCGTTAACGACGTGGGAGGGGTTCTCCTCGGCCTAGTCCGAGACGCTGGCTCCGGAGCAAAGTAGCTTCTGCCGAGGTTCGCAAGAGATATTGATGACTGCATAGTCTTGATGAATCATCTCTCGCGTTCCGGCATATTGCCCTTACTATCGCGCTTATCTCCTTCAGAAAGAACCCAAGTATATGGAGGTACAGACAGCCGTTACCTCGTGCTCAGGGCGACGCAGAATTATATTTCTCGTCTCAACACCATCATGAGCAGCGAGGGGCCGTCCCGTGATGCCAGCATTAATTGCTGAGGCACCTCGGTTGTATAGATCAGCTCGATTGCTAAAAACTTCGAACAAAAAAAGGGTATTCAGGCTTCCCCTGCGGAAGATCCCCAATAAAGTGAAAACCCCAATCCCAGAGTCGGAACACCACCGGCTAGCCGGGCTAGCCGGGTCCCGAAGCATCAGTGGTCGTATCCATAACCGCGATTCAGCGCAAGAAAAATCTTTTTGCGCTTGGCGTGCAAGACCAACATCATCTCATGATCAAGATGCTGTAATCCAATGCAGCAAATGATGCCCTTACTAGTAGCAATAGCCACTAGGTCGATTAGGTCGATGATTCACGAACATTTCTTGTTCGTGTCCTTTTTTTCAGTGTATCGGTAGCCCTGGAATATGTACATGAAACAGCAAGCAATAGCCTCGGTGTTTTGCATTACAGGTCCAGGGCCAGCTTTGATGCCACCCGATAATCCATGAAGTCATCCTTTGAACTCCATGTTAAAAAAAACTCTGGGGAAATGAAATCCAGAGGAAGTGGTCCGGGTATCATTACCCGGAACGAAGAGGGCCGTTTATCGTCGTGCCCAGGACGATGATTGTGGTGATTACCGTGCGGTGGTTTAACGCCTGGATGTGTGTTGGTCCGTGCCCACGTACCGCAACACAAGTGGGTTCGAATCCCACTGTGGTCAAACCAAACTGGTCCGACTCAGGTTTTTCCTTGGGCACTGCTGGGCGCTGAGGGTGATTCCATCTCCGTTATAAGAAGGCGTGTTCGACGGTTTTCCCCCTGATCAAAGTCGGCTACCTGGCGCCGGCGCTAACCAGGTAGAGGCTGGGGATAGGAAGTGGAGGATCTCTCATGTCAGGCGAAACTCTAGCTCTGTTCCCTCAAGGGAGTACTCTAGACGTCTAAAGCGCCATAGATGCGCCGCTGTAGCTACCTAGCTTATAGCAACCAATAGACGTTAACTTTCTCATCATCATCATCATCTGTAGTACATTAGTATCTGTTGTGTTAATGCTATTTGGTTTACTTGGAAAACTTACCTAATATTGGGCGCTTGAATTGTACCCGAATCCTTGTGAACGCTTGAAATGCTAGATCGTACAAGTAATAAATTTGCCTTACCGTGTCTATCCGCATGAAAAGTCGTTGCTTTTACTAGATATTACCTCATTGTTATTGTCGTACATGCCGAATTGGAATTTGGCCGAACGTAGAACTCTAGATCGTACACCGAATCTAGCCTGTTAGCCACCACCTCGTCGAGAAGGGGATAGGGGACGGTACTCACCTTATATGACGAATAACGTCATATGCCCTCTAAATTGTCGATGAAATAATAATCACATGAAAACTCATTATATTCGTGCATCCCGTGGTAGCCGTACATGCGCGACACCGTTACCTGAGGCAAACGCGATACCACGCCAAAGAAGGCCGTTTTAATGTCTTGCCAAGGACTTGGCATTAAACCCGGATCAAATAGATCCACATGGTTGCTCGTAGGCCTTTTTCATCATTCCGTCATGCCTAGGACCGTCAACGTCGGGAGTTCATACGTGCTCCACGACTTCTTGGGCCTTTTACCGTCCTGCCCAGGACGACACGACGTGGTACGTAGCCGACTTATCGAAGAGCGATGACGAGGGATTACATCATTTAGAGAGTTCCTCTAACGGAAGACGTAGGGGAGGTGGGGTTATATATACCCGAGACTCTTAAAAGCCACATCTGGATAAAATTTGTGTTAGTCTACGTGATTGTATGTCAATGATCAGAAGGGGAAAATAAGCTCACCATGCTCTGACTGTGGTATGTGGGCTAGAAAATATGACACTATGGCATCGTCTTCCAAGTCGTTATGGTTGCCCTAATGAGGGGAGTGAGTAGGTAAGGACGCGCCATCGGTTAGGCAATGCTCCCACAGGAGGAGTCATAGTGTAGTCGACAACTCGTGGATTTGGGTTGGGGCATTTTCCAATAACTATATGTATTGGAAACTGCTGAGCTATGGCATCACAAGTAGTCGTGGTATGAGCTCGATAGATAGGAATGTGGAATGTGGAATGTGAAAGTAGAAGATAAGGCTTTTGGGGTTTGGCAACCCGAGCGTCTGCCTTATTGGGTTTCATCCATTACGTAATTGATATTTGTCATACTGGCGGGGGAGTATGGGTTTTTTTCCCGAGTATCGGGTGGATCCGGATTGATGCGGCTCAAGTTAAGTATAATCCAGTCTTGACGACATTTGTGTGATGTCTGATAGAGAGGTAGACAGTAGAGTAAATAGGTAAGTAGGACAGGTTTTATATATGGTTTCTTGTGAGGCGAGATCTCGATTTTTACAAGGTTTTCTCTAGATGGATGATGATGACTCAATTCTTGGCACTGGCCTCTGCTTTGGTGGCTTAACACACTTGGACCAGTAAGTAAAAAGGCCATAGTGTGTTTTCTTCTACTAACTATGTAAAGCGTAAACTCAATATAATCCCTGGTTTACGATTTAATTAGGGTACATGAAAAGAACAAGCCTGTCCGTGCAAACAGGCTATCCACTCCTTAATTTAGCAAGGTTTTTTCTTCTCCTGTTCTTTAACTGAAAAGAAGAAAACAACCTGCCCCCGTTTGATTTGGTCTGCTTGGCTTTGACCTGAAGTTCGCACGTTAAAACATAGTGTACATGGCAAAACAGAAGAACTCTGCTTTGACCCGCTGTTTTTAGTACATGCCTCAACGCGTATACTTGATTTGACTTTTCATTTGGATTACTGCCTGTATGCTACGTAATGGACTGTATTGCGTTTTCAATTGGTGGCTGTGGAAAGGAGGAGGGGGGGCGTTAAGAGGCCTCCAGGTTGCCTCGGATGGTTTTGCCTAGCTACTTAGAGGTCATATTGTCCAAAGTCAACTCAATCCCAAGGCCCCGAAGCTAAACGTACCATCACGAGCATGCCCCTAAATGCTTTTAGACGCGTCTTCCTTGCTTGGGTCTCCCCACGCGCCCTAGCTTGTTGGCACGGATCACGATGTGTAACCAGTACTGTGTGAGCTATGTAGGTATATGTACCTAACTACTTTTTGTCACTGAGGCTGCTTCCATAGCCGTCACTGAAATGGAATGTGCGTAATAGCCAAAGGCGGAGAAAACCATACATGTTAGATAGATAGAACAGTGTTAAAATCAAGCTGACTCCCTCTTGGGGGGTTTCAACTGTTGGTTGGGTGGTGGGTTAAATTCCTAATTAGCTAGCAAACGTAATTCAAGGGATGATATTAGGAGGTCTTATCATGTATGAGCTACGTGAGAAGTCTTCCAGCTCTAGTAGAGCCAGAATGGATTACAGCAAATCGAACTGCTTTCCAACGTATCACTTCTCTCATAAACAAAATCCATTTATGATGAAAATGTCAATACAGTCTGGAAAGTAAATAGCCTTCTGCCGTATCGTACTTTGACAACTTGAATCTAACACGTGCTATGGTTAATATAGTAATGATTAACGGATAGTAGAGTAAGTAAGTGATATTGATCGGTGAACGTTGCCATGGCCATCTTAATAGACTTCTATATAAGGGAAAATGGAGAAGGAAGAGGTTAAATATACTGAACCACGACAGGAAGTTACACACATTTTGAATCCATCCATTTTATTTTACACATAAGAAAGGTAATTACCACTTATTACTGTAAGTCTAAAAAAATGAAACTGATATTGAAATTATATCTGACCCGCAATGGCGCGAAACCATGTCATGGCTATTTATCTTATACCTGTTTATTGCGTTGTAGAAATAGAAAGAATAGGCAGCAAATAGATACAGTAAAGATTTCATTTTCATTTGACGTAAGTACCACTGTCCGGGGGTATTCGCTGCTGTATCGTTCTCCTAATTCGCCTAGCTTTGGCTAAGGCCAAAACTCATCGCCAGAAGTTGCCAAAATACTCCAGAATCAGCTATATGAGAGGTACTTGGCCACCCTGAAAATGAACCTCAAAGCTATTACGGCTTAGAGTCCCGGTGTTAAGTGGCGAATACGGAGAATCTGAAAATTACTAGAATAGGTATAGAATTTAGCGCTATTTGGAAAATACTTTTAAGATATAGGAAGGCTTCTAGGTTATTAGCAAGTACTTTGGATCAATTGTTGGCATGACTCCGGAATCGCTTCTTTTTGGGTATACAGTAAGATATACCTGATAGGGCCCAGGTTTACAATGCATTTACCGAGGTGTTTGTTATTGATCGTGGCACTCAGTTATACGTTACAGCATGTGGCGAGGCATTATTCGTTTAGCCAATGATAAGTACCTAACCTAGATATCCTTTTGGAGTCTGCCTCAGGTACATAGGTAGTCTGCCTAGGTCATGTTGAACAGGGCGTTATGGAAAGCTGGACCCAAGCCCGCCTCTATTCCACATCTTCTATGAATCTCAGACGTTGTATCTCCCATTCGTACTCTTTGATTAGATTAGCCATCGATTCTAGGCCCTCCTCTTCCGCTATACGTAGTCCCTCGCTTTCAATCCCCACGTAAAGTGTTACTCCGGATTCCACCAATAGCCGGAAAACTGACTCATTCTCACCACTGACTGCCTGGTATAGGGCATGGCTCCAATCAACAGTGTAGTAAATAACGTTTTCCAGCAGCAGCCGCATTATACGAATATTTCCATGTCGTGCGGCTTCGTATATCGAATTCTCATCGGCTTTAAACCCCTTTTCTAGCAGGTAAACAACCGTGCTAAGGTGACCGTATCTTGCTGGTCCACCAAGAGGCCCGCAAAGTTTATACTTCCTGCTTTCGTTCATATCTTCAACTGATAGACCGAGCTGCCCACAGAGCTGGATAACATGTTCTATTAGCGGTATGTTTCCAGCTGTAGCAAAACGACATATCAACTTCAAAAGAACACTGAGCTTAGTTAAACAGTTGGTATACTTAGGCCTCTTTCTGTACTCGATGATACACTTATTGTCTAGCAGAAATTCCTCATCGTCGATGAAATTTTCCTCATCGTCAATGAATTCCTCGTCGTCCATGATATAGTCCATGTCGTTTATGATACAGTCCTCATAAAGTTCATGTAAACGCTTGAAAGCATCGACGCTCGTGGCTAATGACAAGCTGTTTAGGAGGTACGGCTCGCTGTCTTTGTTCCAACGAAGTGGGTCAAGACCTAGCTCGATCATGGCAATGTTATTATTTTTGCTTCCGTGTAGGATGACGACGTTACGACTCGCTACTTCTGGCGAACCCTGTCCTTCGTTTGCTTGTATGATAAAGTCTAAAAATATGTGGGCGATTTCAACGTTCCCCTTGAAAGCAGCCCCTTGCAATGGATAGCCAAGTAACGGACGGTCTAAGGACTTGTTAGGGTAAATTAGGTGTGATAACTGTCGGAAACGCGGAAGCAGCTCCTTCACCAATTTTACTTCGTTGGTAAAAGCAGCAGCTGCTAATAGAGCCTGCATGAAATCCTCATCGTGATCCGTGATCTCGGTCGACATATTAGGGTTACGTAGAGTCCTTGCTGGAGGTGTCATCCAGGTTCGATATCCTCCACGACGATCGCGTGTATTCATACAAACTTTGGAGATCTCGAAAATACACTCTTCCAGTTTCTTGCCCCAAGTGTCTTCGCCGCGGAAAGCCAAAATGCGCTTTGCGACTTGGCGGATAACAAGGAATGGCCGAGTTAATGGTTTGGTCGTATACATTATCTTGTCTACAAGATACTGAGACCAGAATGGACGACAAATATAAGGGAACGGCCTCAGCCAGGGATCATTAAGGATTCCTGACTGAAATATCGCGTACATTGTTATGGTGTCCCATAATCGGCTAACAAGTCGTAACCGCAGAGCGCGTTCGACACTATGTTTAGTTACGGCATAAGGTGTATCATCGGAAATTGTAGTAACGCGTAATCGAACAGCTGCGATAAGTATCTCTTGAACCAACTCATTTGGGAGGGTAGAAAACGACATGGTCGACTATACGCCGATCTCAGCGCTGAGATATTGGGGTTGTTTGGGTAACCTTAGGTAGGCAAATAAGGAGTTGTTTACGTACATAGGTAGGTAGGTACCTAAAGGCTACCTAAGGTTAGGGGAATATTGTGGCTGGGACAGCGGTGAAGGTAGGTATGATTACGTAATTACGTAACAAGGTAGCTCACTGCCTGTCATATCACGTGGGTACCTTAGCGTCAGATGGGGGGTAATGGTAGCCGTATATATACAATATATATACGGCTCCTAGGTATAAACCGCTCCCAAATATTAGGGAAAAACGTAGAGCTCACTAAATTCATACGCATTAACGCTAAAAACCAATCAATATTTTTTGAGTGGTATAACTGGTACGCCGCTCTTGCACTGTAAGCCGCTTGACCAATAGGCAGCTCGTACGCCTCTTACACTTTTTGCGCCGCTTGTATCTTTGCGCCGCTTCCATTTTGAACAGCTTCCACCAGAGAACGGCACGTACACCGCTTTAAGTAAATGCATACTTATATAAAAAATAAAGTAAAAAGTATATTTCCATACGTTTTTATATAAAAATCTATTTGTAAAATTATTTATTATTAATTTTTTTTTTTAATTAATAATAATTACAACTACGATTACGAATTATAAGCTACGGCATACGATTAATTTAATTAAAAAATTACGTATTTTTTAAATAAATTATAAAAGCATGCGTATAAACTTATAATTATAAGATATAACTTAATTTATACGCTTAAAGTTATATAATAATACCTTATACGTACCGTTTAATACGGGAAGCCGCTTAAATCGGAAACGGCGCAAAGATATAAACGGCGTAAAAATATAAACGGCGTAACGGCCACTTATTAATCGAGTAGCTTAAATCTAAAGTTACGCGTTAATATAAGCAGTACCTACGCAACTCATTGACCAAAACCGCGTTAATACAGCTTATATTAACTTAACGTCTTAAATATTTAAAACATTTAAACCGTAAACGGTAATATTACCACTTAAATATTTAAGCCACTTAATTCTTTAAACGTAAAAATCGGGAGCCGCTTATTAAATTAAGTGAAATAAATACGGCTTAATTTAATAAACGATATATATACAGCTACTACTACCCCCCTTATGACGCTAAGGTACCCCACATGTAAATTTATGCGGCTTAAAAAGGGGAACATACACAGTAACATAATAGGGAAAGGTTTGATAATTAGTGCAAACCGTAAATATTATTGGTCGATTTAGCCATCTTCTCTTTCTTGGCCAATCCTTATGTATCAATACTGAAAATAATGGAGGTGTAGTTAAATGCCAGTTTAGGGGATACGCCATGTTATCTGTATTGAAATCATAAATCAATTCGCAATGCTGTCTAAACTCAGACTTGCGTGGTATCGCCCTTGCTCTTTTAGCGTCAATATATCAACCCTTCCCTGTTATTTTCTACACGCTGGGATATCCATCATATCCTTTCATACCTCTTCAAAGCCCATATTCACATGCTCTGCTCTTGTTATAGGAACCAAGCTAGGGTTCTCCATGATTTTCGTGATGAATTCATTCGATAATTCAACCGAGTCCGCTGAGACTTTACGAGAAGACGGAGGACCATCATGGCTTTGGAATTTACCTCCAATCCACCCCTTTTCCACATAGAAGTACTCATTAATCTCCTTTCGGAGTTCCCTAATCCACACATCTTGCTTTTTTCGCCGGCTCTGTGGCTCGGCTGCGTTCTGATAGTAGGGGAGGCCCGGCCTAAACATAGCCAACTGATAAACCCACGTAAAACCACTTCGTACAAACTTGCTTAGGCAAAGCACCATTCCGGCCCTGAAGCATGTCTTCTCCCACACAGTGGGAATAGCTTCGTCTCTCCTTGCTGCCTCCGACATAACTTCTTCTACATCAAAGAACCACGGTGTAAGGAGACCGATCACATGGTGCCTCGCTCCCGTTCCTGTCTTCTCGAATTCTACCCTGGCGTAGTCGAGAAACTCGGTCACTGTGGCGTAGAAGCGAGACTTATGTCCAGTAGGATTGTACCACTCTTGGCGCTGCTGGTCGGAGATGAAAGCTATAGGAGCAAGAAACAGCGCACCCTTCGAGTCGGGCTTAGTTTCCGTCAAGGATAACCAGCAGAGGTACTTGCGGACATATAAGGGAGGGCTCTGGTCGTGTGGATACAAAGGTGCGTCTTCCTCGTCCCCTTTATGCTTGTGATCGATGCCGAAGAGCGCCCTCCGAGTTGTTGTCTCCCCCAGTATCGCGACATCAAACTTGCTGAAGTAGTCGGGAGGCCAAGGACGGGTGACTTTAAAGTCTTTGGGAGGCTTTAGGCTAGGGGGATGTCTTTTTTGAACGGTGCTAGCGACATGGTCGATTGTTGTGATAAATGCATCAATGACTGTTGTCAGGTTCGTACTTTCTTCTATAGAATCTTGGTCTGATAGATAACGGCGACGTGCACCCACAAACAAATAGAGGAGTTTCCCAAGCAGCTCAGGTGTGAAAAGAGTAGCTAAGGTTGCTGGGTTCCACTCGGATAGGAGAAGGTAACAGAAAGATTTGTCGCCTCGGACGCGAATGTATACGTCTTTATTCTTGACGCAGACGAGGAAGAGCATTCCGATTTGATGTATGATTGCTTCACAAACTTCGTCTGGTGTGGCATTGCTGAGTCCTGCAGTTATAAAAGGAGAGAGAATGCCGTCAAGATCCTTGGACGACTCGCTGATTGGATCGAAAGTTAGGCCATGGATAAGTCCAAGGCCTTTTCGAAGGACCTTGTGGTCCATCGCGACGACGGAAGACTAAGGGATAAGGATATCAACTGCTTAACTCCAGTATAAATAAGGCGTAACCCATAAAAGAAAACCCTGTGTATAATGCTACCGACAATGATAACTGGGTGAATGTCGCGTAGTAGTTGGATTCTGGATAGAGATAGTGACCCAATTGACAAAGCATGCAAAACCTCTGTTGGAATATGTTAAACGAGGATAGATATCGCATTAGGTACGTCCCAAAACTGACAATTATGACGAATAATTCTAGGGTGACGATAAAGATGGTCTTGTTAAGGATATGGGGGAAGGGAAAAAGGGAAAGAGAAGTGGTGCCTAAAATTATTTGTGGTTTACATTGGCAACCGGATTCGACAGAAGGAGCGAACTTGCTCCCTAAGGATGATTTTGTAAAATCTTAAAGTACAACGCGTGTAGTGCAATCGCCATGCAAGCGAGGGGGACGTTGCCTAGGTACCTTGGGTACCTACCTAAGGTAGTGGAATATTTCAGACGGACTTACATAGGAAAAATTACAATGTACCTACGATAAGAACCCACCTGTGCGCAAATATGGCATATGATAGAATCCAAAGTCACATTTCGGGGCGTCTAAAGGTAGAGCTTTCACCTTCAAATAATAATGATGGCACGGATAATAATTTGGGATCTACCAACGCGACTCAGTATTTTTTAGCTTCCGTCAATAAGCTTGATCACAGCTCCAGTCATGTGCATATCAGTAACTATGGACTATGCGAGCAAGTAGTTAGAGAGCTTTTGAAGAAAAGGTTTAGAATTGACAGTAATAGGAAACGCTTAGAAGAAGAGGTGGCCTTACACAATTATCCATTCAACTGCTTAAAATTAAATAGCTGCTTAAGTGACTTACTAGCCCATAACCCTGACATACTGACAAAGCTGCGAGAAAGCCACTCATCTAGTATAACTCTAGAAACTATGTAAATGTGACGTAAATATACTTTTTAGCCTCAGTAAATTGACTGAGTGATGGGCTTGGATAGAATCAGGGGTAAACTTTAATAAGCTGAACTCAACCAACTGATAGTAACTATATTAATATTCTACGAGGCAACGTCAATAACCAACAGTCCTACAACATATGAGATATGTGTGTACAGGCAATAAACTAAAATAGGGATCTGTGGTAGTATGAGGTACTGTCAGAGGCTGCCCTTGGTATATCACCACTACGGAGTGACAGTTGACTAGCTGGTGAATAGCTCATATGGTATATATTTCGGAATACTACTAACGCCTGCCCTCCCCTAAATCTAAGAGGGAACCAAGGTCCCCTTATATACAACATAGTGAATGACTAGGTGGTAGATAGCTTCAAGCTAGATCTTAGACCCCTTATCACGTTATACAGCTATCGTAATCCTTGTCATCTGACAGGTACCTAGTCATATGACTCAGGGGCTATGCATAATTTTCCAAATTTTAACAAATCATTATCAACCGCTATACTACTAAGCTATAGGATATATCCCTAGGCTGGAGTGCGCTACTGTGCATAACCTAGGTAGTGTTATCCATTATGCGTAGGAAAATGTTCTATTTATACTAGGTGATAGGGGTTAGGGCCTAGGTAGTACTAACTTTGGCCTCATTTCGTACCCATGAAAGATGTAATAGCTAGCTCCGGCAGAGGGTATTGCTTTGCATCCAATGTTTAAGTGACTTTGCACCGTGAAGTAAATACTTTCGCTCTATACAGGAATCTGAACTACTTGCCCCCCCTTTTCGTGGATTGTCACGGAGGTTTCCACCAGTAACAACATAAATAGATCTGCCAACGCTTTCTAACGCAGCGGAAGTTGGCTCATTCAATACGAAATCCTCCAACCCGCTACTAGCAATTGTTATCTACACGCCGTCCGGCAAAATCTTAACTGCCGATGATGAATGTGTAGCGATATATGCGTTGCCCTCACGATCAAAGGTAAAATCATCGTAGATCTGGTTCACTGTGGAAAGTCAGGGTCATTGACATTTTTGCAGTTCTTATCAACGCGAAAACGTGAAAAGATTCCCTGTTGTCTAGGTACCTGCCAATTTATCATAGCGGCGCGGTGACCCACATATTCTCCGGGTTCTCTCCGAACCCCTTTTCCGTTTATAGCGGGGCTATCCGACCGATTTCTTTTAGCCGATAAGGCCCGGGTTATCGGTTCATACAGTTCTTAATAATGCACAACGAAAATTACGTTCATATTAATCCGGCATACTTTGCTCTTCGCTGTCTAAAGTGAAAAATAAGATTTGCTAGATTATCACCTATATTTAGAGGTAAAAAGTAAACGAACCGTTACCTATCATGAAACTAACTAGAATGACCGTATCTGAGATTCACAACTTTCACTATCGTATCTGGATTCGTAATTGTAAGGATATTATCGGGACCCAGCCCTTGGTTAGGGCTCCTCATATATCTGGCCCATGTCTGGACTTTGAACTCACTGTTCAACTTCGCCGGCGCATTGATCTTGGCCAACCCGAGGAGGAAGGTCAGCTCGCTGACTTGCGTAGCATAGACCCAGCCTTTAGCCGAGCGCGGCAACAGCCGCAGACGTAGCTGATTAATGCCCTTTTCTTTGTCCTGAATGACCGTGGGCAGCACGTTGAAGCGCATATTGGTCAGCATGTGTGCGCCGGGGCCCGTGTACGTGTTCATGAGGAAGGAGGAGGATTCTCCGACATCGATCTGTATGTCTACCTCAACAAGTTGGTACTGGCTCACTTCGTCCTGATTCACGATGACAGAGAAGATGAGGTCTTGAGCGAGGTTGTCATCATCGAGTTGGACCTCTTCCCAGTGTCCGATGATGTTGCTCGAGACGGTTATCTGAAATCTGGGCGATCCAGCTATGTCACGCACAATTGGCTGACTGCTGGATACGGCTTTGGACTCGACATTAGAGTTTTGCCTGATCTGGGAAAGTATATCAGGTTCAGGAAGAGAAGCCGCGGAAGTGACAGGAAGTGCGCGGACGTGAGGGGCGAGGAAGCTAGAAAGTGCCGTGGGTGTGGCAACGTAGCTCTGAAGACGTTTGAAAGTAGCCCCATAGTCATCGTCGTCATCTTGCTTTTTCGAAGGCGTGGTTCCAGATCTGCCATCTGGGGTAAGCTTCTTGACCCGCGCCGTGCCCATAAGCCTTAGTGTCCTGATTTCGGGGCTGCTTGAGCCCCCGGGTGGCCCTACTTGGGATATTGCCTCTGAATTTTTATGGCTTTGGAGGTCAATAGTCAGATTATAAATGGGATCGTTAAGCTGCATAGCAAATAGTGCCGATGTTGGCGCATTATCATCGAAATAACGCTTCTGTGTACCGCCTTCATTATAGGTACCCATCCCATCCTGAAGTTTCTTCAGCTGCGTGTCAGCAAACTGCGGTGGCCAAATGACGCGCAAATCATTCAGATTTGAACCGGATTTGGCGTCCCAGAGGAAGATATTGTCAGCACTACCGCGGTTGTATGTGAGAGACGGCTTGAGGGCGTCGTGTCGCTTGTCGTCTTTTTCGCGAATGCTCTGTTCGACTGTGTACTGCCGCCGTATGTCTACCTTGACCTCTGCTGGGTCAACACCGCGGGCAACGGCGAAACGTTGTTGGTGCGCGGGCTGCGTGAAGACAAGACTAGCAAATTGGTCTGAGCCGGGTATACGGTCCATAAAGGCCATCATAACGCCGTCTGTGACAATTTCATGGCGTAGAAGCGGTGCGCCAGAGGAGGCAGTTGCTCCATTAGCATCTAGAACCTCGACACGTAAGTCCGGGAACATGGTGACGAGGTCTGACCGCAAGTAGAAACCGTAGGCAGGGATCTGCACGGGCTGTTCTTGTCCTTCTGGTATGTGCTTAATGTAGTCGTTTAAGGCTTCTTTGATAGCCGTACGGTCTTCGTCATCGCCGTAGTGGTTACCGAGCGAAAGAGCACCATCTATCAAGGCATCAACCCAATTGTTATCGATGCGGAAGAAGCGTAGCCGTTCGGGCTCGAGGTACGTTGGGTCAGGTATAAGACAGTGAGCAGGTACACCCGCGAGGAACATGCGGTCGAGGAGCCAAGCAAGAACAATCATCCAATCGGTTGACACTGGATCATTGGTCTCATCATACGTGCCCCCTGATGTGCTACGGGCGAGGTATTGTGCCGCTTTGACAGCCTCATTCGGGAAGTATTTACGTATCAAGGGTGAACCAAAGGACATATCTGGTAACTCGGAACGTGCAAGACGGGAACGTTTCCATCTTCGCTTAGCGCCGCCGGGAACATATCGCGGCGCCCGAATGGGTTTCCCCGGATTTATATCATCGTTACCGCTAAGATGAATTGAGGCTAAACTGCGGATGGCCGAATCAATACCGCCTAGTACGTCGCTACGGGTCCGGAAGGCCGTGTCATCAATGTTCTTTACCGTCTGTAGCTTGGAGGCGGCTTCGGCCGTACTATGGATCGACGTACGCAGCCGGTTAAGTGCCGCCGTGTAAGCTTCATCACCTAGGGCCATGGTGCGACCGACTTGCCAAGCAACCGAATACGTAATATCCATGATACCTAGTTGCTTGTCAAGGACTTGTAGGTCGACACCCGAGTTAGAGCTTGTCGTCAAATTTTCTAGGGGAGGGACAAATGAAGGTGTGAATGGTCCGCGGTAAAGGGCAACGGTAGATTCTCCCGTCTGAGTACGATATCGTACGAGCGTGTATCCATCATCGAGCCGCTTCGCAACAAGCTGCTTCATCTTGTCGCTTGAAGCCCGTAGCGGCGAGATGATTTCTTCTGGAGCACGGAGGACGTTGAGGGTCCTTCCAAGATCTTCAAACGCATCCGGTACGTTGAGCGTATTTGCCGGCAACACAGTGTAATTCCAGCTATGTAGCGAGCACAGCGCAACATAGCGGTGATTAGTTCCGGGCCAAGACATCTCCTCGACGCCTTCGATAGAAACGAGGTGTGCAGACATGGTTACTGGTGTCTCATTGTCGAGCGGGCCGGACCGGTTGCCGACGACGATGCTAAAGACGGCCGTATCTTCAACACCAGCGAGCGCCATACCCTGACCATTTATCTTGCGCACATGTGCCTGGTACTGATATTGCAGCGCATTGGGATTGGAACCTTTGACAGGGTTGTTATTGGAGTCGCTTGTGGGAAAGAGATTGGCGAAGAGGTCTGGCTTGACGAAAATAAAGTCGCCTCGACTATTTTTCATACTCTCCGGCCCAAGTTTTTCAGTCACAGGCGTCGTTACGTCTGTTATCTTCCATAGGTCATCAATGCTCATGTTGACCGTCATGGTGCCTGACTGTTTGACGGGCTTGGTGACGCCAGAACTTGTATTGCGGAAGATGCTAGTCGACCCGTCCAATTCTTGAGGCTGTAGCCGTAGCTCATCTTGAGAAAAGGAGAACATGACGAGCCAAGGCACGCGGTTGCGTACGGTCTCGCCACTAGCACCTTCTGCTAGCGCCCTCATCTTCATCTGAAGCTCCTTGTTCGTCCCCTGACTGCGGCTTCCGGATCTTTCCCATGGCAGATGCGGATCCGTTAAGACCACATGAGGAAGGATCCTGTTTGTGTCAGGATATCCTGGAGGAGGATAGGTCGAGTGCACACTCCCTTCTGGCAGTGAGAATTGTGGCGCGTCTACGAAAAAGGATTTCTCCGCATTGAGGTCTAATTTCTCGCCCGTAGGCGCCTCTATATGCTGCTTGACAGTGATATTATGTTTCGGACCAACCGCGAGCCCCGGAGCCCAGTACGAGTTGAGCTTTTGTTCACCAGGCGCCAGAGGGTCAACATCCTCCTCACTCTCAATGACAGCTATACCAGCTAGCTGTCGGGCTTTGCGCTGATATACAGCAGCGGCCCGCCGAGAATGTCGAAGGGTTAGATGGCGAGGAGAGTTAATGCGAGTGCTTTTGCCTCCGGGAAATATGCCCATTGTTAATATTGTTCGTGAGGCGAGGATGCTAGGGACTGGGGCTTAGGTTTCTAAGATGGATCAAAAAGTTTTGGGCCAAGTCCTATATGACAGAGTCAAATTTGTTCAAGTTACCCTTATCAGACAATGGGACATAATCACATTCTCCTGTTTCTAATAAGTCACTTAATACAGCCCGCGGATTAATACCTAAGCATGGTTGGGAATTCTGAACGCCGCGACTTGCTCGAATTTCGGACTTGAAACCCCCATAACAAGAACATCCCCATTCATGAATAATACTCATTTGTTACTCAGAGTGGCACATGCTTGGATCGTGGTGGTGTTGGAAGTATGCTCTAGAAGTTGATATAGATACCCCGAGGAGTGAAAACATAGAGCTGCATTACGACATTACGACGCCAAGTCCTGCAGATGCACCCAAGTTTCCTCGAGACAGAAAAAGCAGCATGTTAATACAACATGTGCATATGGATACTGTCTTGTGCGTCTCGCAAACTTATGCAATTAACTAAATCCCGGCTTTCAGCTACCTACTGAAATGCAATGTTGGATTTTATTGCATTGGCCGACAGCGTGTTAACCGCTATTGGGAATAGTAGAGTCCTTAATATAGTAATGGCCAAGATGATAAATAATATCGGAAAGGAATAGGAAATGTAGATCCCTCGAGCCATCAGATAGACCTCGCCATCTATTTTCCCATCGTCCATAGGACTCAGAAGTTGAGGTGTCTACTGAGTCCTTCATTACTTATTACAAGGCTTGTTCAACTACTCTATCTTTTCGGGTTGTTTTACCATGAAATTGAAATACTGAAGCTTCATCAGTACTCTAAAACAATCATGGCGGCCTTGGCGGCGATTGTCGACAAGGACGTAGCAGACGACAAAACCATCTGCCTTTTTTACAACACGAGTAAGGCACAGCTCGCTCTCTCCTTACAGTCTGGTACCGATACCGACACCGACGACCCGGCTAGCGATACCTGTGTGACACCCGACGATTATGACAGATACATACTAAACCCATCTTCCATCGCTGCTGCCTACTACAAGGGGCTTAAATATGTGGCCGCAATGACGATGCCCAAGCAGGGGCAGATAGATACGGATGTCCAAATCTCTCTTGTTTCACCTACGTGCCAAAACTTTGTGGAGGGAGACCGCGAGAATAATCACATTGCCTTGGGCATAACTCCAGATGGAAATGAATGTTGGCTGTATTATCTCGTGTAAGCTGTACAATTTCTCTCTTGTCTATGAGCCTATTTCTTTGTGCATCTTCCGCTTTATACGAGCGAGGGCTTAACTGACTGTCTTTACAGTGACGTGTCTGCAAATGTCAAGGCCATGAGAGAATTGGACCTTAGCACCAATGAAACACAGGCTCTGAGTGCTATTACTCAGGTAAGGAATAACAGCTCTATAGCAGCTTGGTACGACCCGGAAGAGGAGAAACGGCATGTTATTTATGAGGCTGGGGCTATTCTAGACTATACGGTAGGAGCACAAAACCGTAAGTACCTGGCCAGCATTATTGATACTTATACATACGAAATATATTTACCGGTAATAACGCCAAACAGCCGATACTCTACCTATAAGTGACTTCGCCCGGAATAGTTCCATTGGGGTTGCTTACTCTGGCTCGACTAAAAAGGCGTACCTCTACTACTACGATGTATACCAGAATTTGAAGCGATCTGTCCACAGCGGGAGCAACTGGGGCCTTCCTGAGACGATATCTAACGCTCCCATGGTTGCTGAGAATAGCCAGATCACCGTTGCGCAGGCAAATGGGTTTAATCATGTATTCTACATTGCTAAGGACATGGGCACGGGGGGAGACGAGGGCCAGAGCTCCTTTACTCACATTCGTGACTCAATTAATTAAGTGGTTTATGCAACGAACAAGAATAGTTTCGGGGCTGCGTTGGTTGAAGTTGAAAATGATTAAAAGTTGCCTGTATTACGCTAGGAAGTTAGTACTATATTGTAAACTAGGTATAGTGACGGAGCATTATATTATTTTAAGAATATTCTCAATTTAATATGGTCGAAAGCTATTGAATACCTACATATTGGGTTGCGGGTTCTGAAGTTATCACGGGCCATGGCCTCGTCTCGCGTAAGAAAGGAGAAAAAAGGGGCTACCTCTTTATATGCATATACTCGTTAGACGCTTATACCAATATACCCGCTAAGCCTTATGCTCTTATGTTCATGCACAGTATCGACGATATACTCGGCCCAGATTCTATCAAGTATATTGCTTCTCTAGCAATGCATGCGACACACGGAACACCACGTAGTAAATCCTGTTCTAGACTCCCGTAATTTCATCCGGCATCCGGCATCACGCCGTCACATTACACGGCAGACCGGTGAGACACGGAGACTGCAAGTTTCAGCTGGGCTGGAGACAACTGATCTTACCTGTTTCTATCGCGACGCTCTCGTCTTTATGCAAATCTATGTAGGCGATGTGTCAAAATATGCAAAAGCAATATGAGAGATACTACTCCACGATGCGGGGTTCAGCTTCCATCGGACCGTCGTATGTGGCTTACGCCAGTTCGCGAAGAACCACCTCGGCGGCAGCTACCATATGACCATGACGGAAAAGTGATACCGCGGAAATGCAAGTTTCATGGAGTAAAGGAAATACTATGCAGTGTAGCAGAACCTGTATCGAATCGGCCTTTCATGCATCGGGAACTTGAAAACATGGCGAAAGTTGGACCCGTAGCAAGATATCTTGACTGAGAGAATCAACCACTATCGGAAAGGGGTAACTAAGGCTATTGGAATTAATTAGTTTACTTGAGCTTTTATTATAGATATATTTCTTTGTGAAAAGTTTGACAACTACTAGGGCATTAAGACCATGGCAGAAGAGAAAGTTCTGCTTCTTAAGGCCTTCGGCGAGGAAGATTTTTTTCGTACGGCCTTCAACTATGATTTAGATAAGGTAAGTGCTGTCCGTCCCCTATACCAGTTCAAGATTATCAAAGAAGAGCACAACTTGACCTTTCAAACTACCTGCATGGCTAGCATTTGGTAGATAGAGCTAAGATTTTGATAGATCAAGAAATGGATGGAAGACTGTCTTGTCGGAAATGCAGGAGGTGACCAGACCAAGAAACCAGAAGTCCAAAAGCAACTAAAGGACGTCAAGGATAAGCTCGATCGCCTCATGTGCGTATGAACTAAGTGCTGGCATTAAGACAAAGACAGCTAACGATATGAGGGAAAACGTAGCCTACCAAAGGGGGAAGATTTCATTAAAAAGGAGCTCGCGCCCAAAAGTCACTTCCTGCGCGTTTTAAATACGGAGTGGTCTGCAAGTGCGAAAGATTACATGGCAAAGTTCGAACTCGGATATTGGCCGATCAACTATCAAGGGGTCCTAGAACGGTCTATATCTGTCAGGTGGTGGAATCCCTATGACTTGCTCGGCCTCTTCATCAGCATTTTGGGTCCGGCTCCAGGAACAGCTAATAGGAACAACTATTTCAAGCCCTTAACCGCAGTCTATGCGCGGTGGTGTTCGCGCATCGCGGGCTACGCGAGGAAGTGGAAACCCCCTGGAGACGGTGCGGGAGACTGGCCTTATATGTTCCAGGTCACATGGAAGCTCGTGGGCGATAAAAACTATTTCTTCCTGGGGAGCTCCATAGCTGGTGATAATTGGAAGACGAGCGAAGTCGGGCAATGGATTAAGGAAGTGCAGCGCCAGCGATTTTACATGCTTCACGATTCTCTGCTGAGGGTCGATCTTTTTAAACGGGATTTCAATAAGACGCCTGTGAAACTTGATACAAATACTCTTGCGAACCATTCGTTCGGCAACTGCGGAGAGACATACCCCTTTATCTTCAGCGTTCGCGGAACCCGGTATACATTCCAGCTCTGCCCCCTTCCCCACCTGTTTTCCCCTCCCTCCACAATCGCTAACTATTTACCAGCGACAATAACCGAACGCTAGAAGGCCTTGCTCTCTCTCGCAATTTTATGATGAGCCAGAGCTTGGATTCGTACGACACATATCTGAAAGCGAAAAACACGAATCTAAGTGGACCTTGCGGCAACTGTAAGCAACTCATTTCCAGGGCCGGGGCCTTGAAAAGAAACTTCTCAAGATATCGAGGAGCAAGCTCGACTGCAAAGAAGACGCAAGGAACAACCACCCAAGAAATAGCGGCGACAACAACTCAGATGGCTGCTATCACCGATCCACCAGAGGGATGGTCTGTTAATCTCGATGACTTGGACCGTGACTATTACTGGGGGCCCGATGGCGACGGCACGGTGGCCGCCCAGCGAGTCGGCTTGACTGGCATGAAGGAGCTTATGATTGTCGATCCCGACAACGGCAGCGACTCATATATGTTCACCGCATCTACTGGGAAGATTTATCTGTGGTACATGGTCACTGGTGAAATTTTCGAGTACACCAACCCCTCAGACCAGGCCGGTATTTTGGCTGAGATGAAGAAGCCAGCAGGAACGGGAAAATTGGAACGGACCTTGCTACCTCAAGTTTAATAGGCGGCTTTGTTGAATTTTAGGAGTTGACATTTTCTTCTTGGGAGATTATTTGTCGTAAGGAAATGATGGCTATATGGCGTAGAAATCTCTAGGACTGGAAGTGTTTGGGTCTGAGAATGGCATCCCTTATCCCATGCGTAATTCAAACTCTTCATCCTATTTAAATTGGAGGCATCCAATCAATCTGGTTATCTTCAAGGGACTCGCCTCTCATTTTTAGTACCTACGTCTAAGTAATTTAGTCGTTGCAATGTATTTGAATCTTCTCACCACGTTGTAGTTCATGGTTAGGTACCAAGGTACTTACGGTCAACGACTGTTGTGAATAATTACCTGTCGCACAATATATAAGGCGTAATTGCTAGTCGGCGATTGCGGCGGCGTTTTTTAGCTTCGGCATTACCGAATGGCGTTAAGCTTAGAGACGAGACGGAAGCAAAATAGAAAAAGAAACGGTTACATTACATTCGTAACGTAGTAAATTATAGTCGTATAAGACCCGATACGGCCGGCTCTTAGTGAGTTGAGCCCCTTAAATTATGAACAACACTAAATAGGCAGTAGGGGGCATACTAGCAGCTCGTAATAACTAGATGCAATCATATCTTCTTTAATAAACGCATATGACCGAGTAAAAGTAGTATAATAAGACGTACGGGCCTTGCCTCTTAAGTATATTGCCAGGCGGGCGGTATGGAATTTAGCCAATAGGAGGGCGCGCATCCTTTAAAAGGTAGGGTGGTTGAGACTTGTACGCCTTCTGTGGAACTGGTCTTGTATTACGGAAGCGTTGTTAAATCTAAAAGGACTACGGGACCTTGTTCCTTCCCTTGATGCTATGACCGTAACTCACGATCGTGACGTGGACCATCTGCCAACACGCCCTCTGGTCCACGATACCTCCTTTTTCATTCCCTTCCCTGGCCTCGCCTGCCTCTTAACAAAATGAAAATCCTTGTAACGAATGACTATGCGACCTTCTCGCCCTCTAATCCCGTGCCTCTGTATACTCCTGATCCTCGTAGCCGTCTCATCTATCCTAGGTGTCTTGTATCTCGGTGTATGTGCCTCAACTCAACGTGGGTATCTCGTCCAAAACTCAACCTCTCGTATCTCGTATCTCGTATCTCGTATCTTAGCCTCCTTAACTCATCCCGAAATAGCCATTTTAATAACTCCTTTAATCTTGGTATGCGTCGTTACCGACTTTCGGGTTTTTGGTTGTATTAGCTTTTGGCTTATCTTTTGGCTTGTTACAGTCTTTTTCTTAATGACCTTGATCCTCGCCGTTATTGTTGTCTGCTGTTGCCCCGATGACTATTTCTTCGGTGAGCCGCTTTATCGTAACCTTTTGCCTTTGGTCGTTCGATAAGTTTGTCGATCGATAAGCTATTGTCGTCCTTTTTATTGCTTTCGCCTTCCAGGCTTGCTTAAAGGGTCCGCTTGGCTTAAATTGGTATTTATCTAGCGCCGTTGTATAGTAACGTGCGTCCGTATTACCTTATTCCGTACAACCTGAGCCTATTTCTAACGCGGAACAGTTTCGCATACGGCGATCTCTGTAACCTGGTTCACAGTCAGGTCTGGGTGTGTTAAACGAAGTGGCGCTACTATGTGGAATTGGTTTTGTATTATGTCGCACAATATGTATAAGGCGTAATTGCTTGTTAGCGAATTACGGCGTCGTTTTTTCGCTTCGACATATTACGAGTACGTTATTGAATTTAAAAGGACTACGGGACTTCGTCTGTTTATACAATCGGCCTTATGGGCCCTGGGGGCCTCGTTCCTTCCCTTGATGCTTTACCCGTGATTCACGATCGTGACGTGGACTACCTGCCAACATTAACGATAATATAATAGTATATCTTCCGATGGTATGCCTTTTGATAGTATACCTTTTAACGATAGTATAATGGTATGTTTCCTGATAGCATACCTTCCGATAATGGTATACTTTCTAATAATATACTTTCCGATAATATGCTTCCCGACGATAGTATAGCATATTTCTTCGAAAAGATATTATAAATAGTTACCCCCTCCCCCCTTTTTGCCCCCATTTCCTTTTTTGCCTTGATACATTCTATATAAATCTTTTTAAACCGGATCAGGAGCTTGTAACTGTCCGTTGAAAAAATCTTTATACCTACATAACGCTACCTTAAGTGTATTTTGCTTAATAATGCCTAAAGCATGTCAGAAAATAGGTACCTAACAATAATCTACCTAGAATAAAGGTTTATCTGTACATTTTACTATGAGATAAAGGGGCCCTGGAGGATGAAGAAGAATTGGAGGTTATAGCCCCTGGAAGGCTAACCTAAAAGGTTATTTATATGACTAGATTTCTTTTGAACAAGGTTTAGGGAATATATATAAATATAAAAAGGAAGAAAAACGCAAAAACATACCAAAAGCTCAAAAATACTAACCCCCGAAAAGAAATCAAGCCCAATAAATCGGGGAAAGAAAAACCGACACAAAGGAACTACAAGGCGCGGAACCCTGATACCAACCGCCAAACCAACCTTTTAATTAAAACCTACAAAACCAATAAGCTTAAAATTAAGCCAACCAACGGGTAGTAATCGCTAATCAGGGAATGTTAAGCCCCCAAAGGCAAGGCTTGACATTATAATTACCATGTATCATCAATAACATCATCAGTATTAGCAGCATCATGTAAATTAAAGCTTACCAGGTCCCATACCCCCAGGGAGGTTGCGAAAAGGAGCTCACTGTCATACGGACAACATGACCGAGACTGGAATCTAAAATACAGCTTAGACCGAGTAAGGGGTTAAGATAACTAAGGGGCAACTAGATACGGAAATACATCTCTTAGAAACATCTACAAATAGGTCGTGATCTCCTCAGAAGTGAGATAGAGAGATCATCCAGGACCTTGAGACCTTAGAAAATTATTAGTAAATATGAATCCGTTCTAAGCCCTTACAAGACCTTGTTACACTCACGTTCCGTTCGCTCAGACGTTAAATAGAACAACAACTGCTACTACTATGAGATAAAGATATAATCAAGATATATCGACCACTCGTTTCTCCTCCAACGTCTTTCAGTACTCGAGGAAAATTCTGGGCATAATCTGACTCTATTTCTTTTTTCTTTTCCTAACTCGTCTTTAACCCCCCTTTTTTCGAAAAGACCTCCTAATTGTGATCTTGGAGCGTTCGATAATCATCCCAAGACCCATCTAGACATGGACGAACCAACAGAACTTCCGGAGCCGTTTCGCTCTCTACTCTATGATTTCCAAACAACTTCATCTGACGAGACGTTTGAAGGAATGTCCAAAGACTTCCGTCCTAATATTCCCGAGCCGCTTCTCGACGAACCTACTAAATCGATCCTCGATGAATCCATACAAACTACTGTGGAAGAGTCAAGGGACGTTTTCCCTGATGAATATCTCCAAACTCTCCTAGACGACTTGAATAGAACCCTGCCTGATGATATCCCGAGACTTCCACGTGATGAAGCTATTCAATATCTGCGCTATCATCTTGTTAAACGACGGATCGACAAGGATAGAAATTTCTTCAAGGACTGTCGTCAAAATCTACTCAGCCAGTATCTCAAACTCAGTCAGTATCGCAAACTTCAATATGATAAATACCGACAACACATACGTGATGGTCGTCCAGACCCTATGGCCGGCGGCTCTCCTCAGCAAGTACGCCAACTGTGGCAGCGATTATACCCAGAATTTAGGGATAAGTACACAATGCTTAAACCCCAGATCGACGGAGTGTGTGGTGTCGCAGAGCGGGTTCAGGCTATCATACGACTCCTCTGCGAAAGGGACGAGCGGTTTTCCTTCATAAATTCCGCGCTTGAGGAGTTTGTCAATGGGAAGGATGGCCTACAGGATTTTCGTCAGAGTCTAGACCACCTCTTTTCTATGGACCCAAACGAACTTGAGGATATTGTTGTCGTGGATAAGCTGTCTGAAATTCTCGCGGGTCCCATATCGAAGCGGCAGCGCGATCCAGCGAATGGCGTGCATCTCATGGATGATCTGTGCGAAATTATTGATTCGTCAATTTATGAGTTGCTTAATGTTTTCCGGGATATCACAATTGAGCAATCGTCCATCGGTACCGGTTTAATCGCACGCTTTGACCTCTTGTACGATCTATATAAAAGGACCAAACTATCAACGCCACAGCCAGCGATACAAGTGGCTCCCAAGCCCTGGCACGACAGTGGAAACGAGGCGTGTTATCAGTATCCAAGCTGCCTCAATTCTGCAGTCGGCGGAGTCCGTATCCTCGAAATTCTTCCCGGTACTGGGGACGCGCCGATTGAATGTCGCCTTGTGGTGCGAAACTTATACCATGATGATATTCCGGAGGCCTTGTCGTATGTCTGGGGAAAAGCTAAGTCTACAAAATCGATTCTAATTGACGACAACCCTTTTATTGTCAAGAAGAACCTTCATGGAATCCTTCGAGGCTTACGACGTCCGGATACCACTAGAGAAATATGGATCGATGCGATTTGTATCAACCAGTCAGATTTTAAGGAGAAAACGGACCAGGTTCAACTCATGAAAGAGATCTACTCCAGGACTAAGAATACGATAGTCTGGCTAAGCGGCGGCCACGCGGAGAACAAACAAGTAGAGGGCCTAGTAAAGGGTCAAATGGAGGCTCCGGTAGAAAATCAAAGAGAAGATCAGTCCTTCAATATGGAGGGATTGTATACCCCCATTCCTATAGGGCTTGGGGGGGTTGACGTAGATCAATATGATCTCGCTGCCCTCTTGAGGGAATCTCTAAAGTACTCCATGGATGCCCCATGGTGCGAAAAGCAAACGCTTCTTTACATGATGGTCATTCGTTGTGTAGCTCTAGTCATGTTGCACTCATGGTGGGAGAGAGTTTGGACGATTCAAGAGGCCGCATGCCCACCGAATGCGCCAATATTCGTCTTTCATGGATACTCTTTCTCGTTTGATGACCTTTCGGCTGCTGTGAATACAATAGCGGGTGGAATATCGTCTGGGAACAAGCACGTTATTGAACAAATCGAGAACGCACATCATATTATGGGATCAGGTAAGCATACCTTAGGTACCTGTTGTCCTTCTCTCACCTGATCATGAGCTCTGACAATCATGACGATAGAAGCACGGAAGGTCGTATCTAAGATATTCAGTTCCCAGTTAGGCCTACTGAGTCTACAACCGCTTCTATTCGAATACCGCCGTGGTCGGGTTGGAGAGCGTTATTCTGCGTCGAAAACGTTTACGGTTCTAATAACAATATCAGAAACCTATCGAGCTACAGATCCCAGAGATAAGATCTTCGCGTTACAGTCACTTCTTCCCGGATGCATGGGACTTCTTATAAAGGTGGACTATAAAGAACATTGCGAAGCTGTGTTTAGAAGAGCGTCAGCTCGATACTATAACAACGGCGCGACCTTCTATCTGATGGGGACGCATACATTTTGGTTCGAATCCCCATTGAGTGCCCAAGAACCAGCCGGCCCTTCTTGGGTTATCGATTTCAGTTACACCGACGCGGGCTATCGTGGCAGCAATAAATCCGTTAAGAGAATTACAGATAAGGTGACGCTTGAGGGCTTTATTTCCGAGAATGGCCTTTCGGCCCTTCAGATTGATGATGTGGACAATATTTACCTCTGCACTTCAACAACTGTATTTTGCACAGGACGCTGTATAGATCAAATACGATGGGTTAAGCCGATCCCAAGACTGAGCGATGCAGCGACTTTCGCAGAATTCACGGTATTGGTATCCAACGCTCGCGAGTCGATACTTGGCCTTCCTGCTACAACCCAATTCGGCGATGATGCGAATACCGAGTTCCTTTCTCTGAGCAATTTCCTCTTAATGCAAGACAAGGAGCCCCTGTGTGTAGAAAATCGCGACGAGCTCGTCAATATTCGGAATCAGGAACTTGCCGGGAAACCAGTCTTCATTACCGAGAAGGGACTTGTGGGAATTGCCGCGACGCTCATCAAACCAGGTGACTCTCTCTCATGGCTACGTGGTGCACCTATCTATCTCATTCTCAGGGAAGTGAAAGATCGGGACAGCAGTTCAGATAATGCGCCACAGGACCAGATCGTTGCCCGTGCGGCCGTCAATGAAAATTTGATTCCTGATAACAAGGATATGAAAGACCTCATCTATTCGACACCCAGTTGTTCCTTCCAGATTGTCTGAATCTACGGGAAATATGTCCTAACCTAGAGGCTGCCTAAGAAAAGCACAGCAGGAAACACACAGTAAATGGTGTGCAAGGAGGTTGATGTCAGAGAAGAAGAAGATTGTTAGTTAAGAGGATATTTGGACCTTTCATAATCTTTGATTACTACCTCTATTGGAAGATATTGAACAGGAGCTACAGTCTCCTGGCGAGTATGGCTCACTACTTCAATAATTCAAGATCTTAGAATAGACCTCAAATAGCTAATAGTGGCACTATATTCTATAAAAGCCTATAAACAAACTGTTTAATATGAACGATTAATGGTTAAGGATGAAAAGAGACGATTAGTTGCATAGCTGAATTGTTGAATATAACGATTAAATAATACTCTAACTAACGATTGAGGATGATGATGACTGTCTAAGATGTTGATCAGAGGATTGTTTGATATATGACTTTTATAGGCTCCGTGCGGTTGTACAGATTACGTAAAGATGCCCTATAATAGACCCTAGCAATACTGCACCTGTTCAATATGGCTATCTAACTGCTCAACGATGCAAGGTTTAGTATCTTGTTTACAATTTTATAGTAACGACAGTAATGATCATTTATAAAGAAGAACATCGGCTTTTCCAACAAAACAAATAAAACAAAAAAATCGCCTTTTTTTTCTTGATCAAATTCAAATCAAAAAATAAGAAAGCCTGTTTATTTGACGAAATTCATACTTTTGTTTGACTTAGTCATCCAGCATAATAGGACTGAAATCAGCCCCTGAAACCCCTGAAACCCCTGAAGCCCCTAAAGCCCCTATTCATAGGTACTAGCTATCTCGGCAACAAAGGCGCCTTCACAGCCTCTAGACCCTCAAAAGGTGTTAAGATTGTGGACTGCACTATATATGAACAAGGTAAACTTACAAGAGCTCACCGCTAAGATATATACTAAAAGTAGGCCTGACAAGGGTCTGAATAGCCTCATATTTTTTGGGATCCACTCAAAAATTGAAAGTCCATACTTTTGATTGGCCAAAACATCAAAATTTTATTGTCTTTGTCTGTGCGGTCAAAACGGCAAACAAATAAAAAAACCGTTTGATTTGTTGGAAACGCTGAAGAACATTAACTACCTACACATACCTAACTGCGCAAATCTTGATTCTCCGGACTTGACTTTTGCTCGATCTACTCCTTGGGCATCATGATAGGGTTCCTCAACTGTAAGAATCCCTCGACGGCGGTATACGGGCCATCCTGGAATCCGGGCTTCGTCAAATCGCCTCTCTTCTCAATACCAAACGGATTGAATACAGCATCCCCATCCCCTTCTCCATCAACGGCGTATGGCTCAAACCAGCTCCAGTCGCCCGCGCCAAGCGACGGTAGGGGCAAATCACGCTGGGGCATTTTCCGAGCATTATCTGTTGTAAGCACCTGGGCGGGGTCATACGGCGGCACGTCGCTGAGTGGTAGTGTCAGGGGCCCCGCATGGAAGAATGCGGTCATGGTGTTCATGGCCTTCTGCCACGTCCACGATGGCAGTAGGAGTTCTGACGCCGGTAGGAAGGATGAGTACGCGTGTATAGGTGTGAATGGGTCGATTATAGCACCGAATACCGACATCCGCGCGTTGCGACGGTTATCGAAGTCTGCTGGCTCGACTGAGAAGGGGGCCTCCCAGAAGGGTGTGAAGAGTGGGTATTCGTCAGTGTTAAGAGGCTTTAGTGGCACAATTTCCTTGTCATCTGGAGCGAAGAATGTCCTGATGTAGTCAAGATTGAGCTCGTCGGTACCCGGGGCTGTAGTATCGAAATATCCCACTAGCCCGTCATAGGTAGCGTCGCGGTCTCCTAGCCGCACTTGGAACTGATAGTAATCTTTATCATCGGTTGACTTCGTTAGGTCACGCTCTGGAACTTTGACCTTGCTCCTGGTGCTCTGATTCTTGAACGGGGGCGAGTCTAGCTCGAGAGACCAGCCCGTATTGACTAGGGCTAACGGCTTGCCCACAATAGAGTTGAGGAACTGAGCATAGTCATTAGGTGCGGCCGATAGCGTCTCCTGTGCCTTTGTTATCATGGACCAGAAGCCCTGGAGATAGTCACGATCGACAAGTCTTTTGACGAGGGCATCGAGCTGGCGTGTCTCGGGAGTCGGCTGGGTATTCTTATCGGGGGCAAAGGGTAACCACTTCGGCGCGTCCAACGTCCCAAGAGGTCCACCGAAGCGAACTTCACGGTAAAAGGTCCCGTCTGCTAGAAATAGTTGGATACCGTAGTCGGCGTAGTTCGTAATAACCCAACCCCAGATGGGATTCTCCCACTCAGACGCCGGGCGCCAGGTAGCCGATCCAGGGGGGTCGCCAGAAAGTGTCTTCAGAGCCCCGAAGACCTTTTTTTCATCATCTGAATCATCGGCGATGCGCTTGACAAAGCTGGCGTTAAGACGTGCATTCTGATTAATTTGTGGTGGAAGCTGAAGGAACTCGCATTGTGCAGCGCTGTCCTTTATTACTGTGTTGGCGTAGTCCTTACCCTCGAGCTTGATGGTTTGCGGCTCATAGAAATCACTAATACAAGGATATAAGGGTGGAGGGCCATCGACTCGAGGGTTTTGATCGATGGGAACTAAGGCTTGGCCAAACTTGTCGATGATGTTGAGCTTGCGGAATCTATAGAGAATAAGTAAAAGAAGCGTAGACGAGAATGAAAACTAGAGAAGCTAATAACGCACCTAAACTGCCCGTGTGTCACAGGCTTAAAGGGGCACCATGCACTGTCGAGGAAGTTGGCCAAAGCTACGTACGGCGTTGAGGCCGACTCTCCCTTGATCAGTTCAATGTGTTCTTTACTTAAACCTGCCTTATCATTAACTGCCGCAGAAATAGCCTTGCTTGACTCGACCCCCAATTCAATAGTCTTATTTTCAGGTTTGATGTGGCTACCCTCCGCTAGTGTTACTATGCCGTTAGTAAAACCAGAGAGCGGCATTGACAGGTACGACAGCTTTGACACGTTCGCACGTAAGTTGTCACGCTCCTCCTTCGACAAATACTTGTCCAGAATATCTGGCGGCGTGTTGTCAAAGAGCTGCGCTATCTTAGCCCCGAGCGAGAAGCCAGGCTGTGGTAGGATGAGTACCCGACCGGACAGCACACGCGTGTCCGGACCATTACTTTTCTGCTCATCAAGTAGCGCCTCCCATAGTGGCGGTGGCTCCTGGCCGTCCGTGGAGGGAACGGTGATACCGTAGCGTACCATTTCATTGACTGAAAGACGGGCTGTGTGTTCGTCAAGCTTCCAGTAGTTGAAAGGCACATGCGTGTACTCAGTCTCCCACTCGACGTAAAGGGGGAACCATGGCTGTCGGTTTCCCCATTGATCGCGTAAACTCCCATCTGAAACCGCGGTATTGGGATCGTGAAACTGGGGGTAAAATGTGCCCTCGGGTGGCTCGTTAGAACCACTACCATCCTGCTGGATGACGTAGAACTCGGTTACTAAAGCGCTAGCAGGAGCCCTGAGGATATCAGGGAGCTGCTTTTTTAGAAGGTCAGATAGGTCCTTCAAGGCAGCTGGTAGACTGGAAGCGTCGTTGGCAGGAATAGTCTGAGCCGGCGCGCGGACAGCTACCTTATCCAGGTAATCAATAGGCCAACCCGATGGGATGCCGCCAATGAGAACCGTCGGGTCGTTTGCACGATAGAATACAGGCTTGCTTGCCGCTTTAGCTGTCTCGAGTAGGTTCTGTGAACCATCCTGTGGATTTAGTAAATCTGTAATCTTTTCTTGCAACTGTTCGATGCGACTTTGCAGGCTCCCTATTTCCCCTGCTAGGGCATTCACTTTCTTTTGGTATTCCCCAGTCTCGGTTTCATTACTGCTGCCCTCGCCGTTGCCCACGTCGCTCATAAACCCCCACCACAGCGAGAACATGTCCCAGCGGTATTGCTTCATGGTAGTGTTGCAGCTGTCCAATAGACTCTGTGTTTGATTTAATTCAGACAGCTTCAAAACAGACGGTGGCTCAGGCTCAACTGGCTGTTCACCGGGTTTACCCCCGCCTGAGAAGTGGTAGTGTAATCCTCCTGGTGAGCGATTGAAGGACCAATTGTAAATCGTATTCTTAGCCTCGCGCTGCGATTCGACACCATCGTCGCGCGAAAGCAACAACGACTCGAGCGCGAGAATATCTTCTTCTAACTTGTCAATATCGCCCTCACCCTTTCGAGCATGGCAATAGGATATCAACGCGTCCATGGGAGTAGTCCCAACTGACACGGCTGCTTGCGTCGGGTCGCTGATGCGGGCATTATACCCGTCTGCCGGCGTTGTAGCAGGCTTCTTATCCTCATCCCAAATCACGTCGTACATAGCGCCGTGGCATAATGCTCGCAGCTGACTCGTATCGTCTAGCCAGTCACTCCACTCATCCGGATTCTCATCGGCACCCTTCATTTTCATGAAGAGGGACTCCAAACTTGCCCCATGAGCAGTAGATTCCGTAGAGTTCCAGAGCGGGTCGGTATCGTCCTTCCAATGCCAACCCAGGAGATAGTAGCTAGCCTTAGCATGGGTTAGATACTGCGGCCCGCCGCCTTTATCAGCATACTCGAAATTATCAAGAATGCTGAAGACGTTAGAATTGTGCATCTGAAAATCGGCAAAAAGCTGGTTGCCGCTGCGTAGAAGGCTGATATTGGGTGGCTGGACGCTCGAATTGGGATCATCAGGTGTCCATTCAGCTAGCGGTGTTTTGCGTCCGATGAAAACCTCAGCCTGCTCGTCAATATTGACGTCTGAGCCCGATTTACCAGTGACGAAAGGTGCTACGTCTGTCTGCAAGTCAACATCAAGCGGGATTTCGTCGAGGGACCACAGATGGTCACTTTCCACCACCCACGCCTCATATTCACGACCTGCAAACGCCGATTTGGCTGTCTCTGGTTGAATACTGTCGATGTCGATCTTACGCACCACAACCCAACGTGTAGGTGGTTGAACAAAATCAGGCGTGGTAAGACCAGGCTGTTCGGTCCCTGAGGGCGCCGCTTTTAATCCGTGCCGAACTCGCTCTTGTCTACGCGAGACCTCAGATACCGTCTCGCTAGTTGCCACTCCCGAGCGGTAGAAGCGTGGTAGCGTCCAGTGGACGTAAACACCGTAGCGATGGCGCAGTGGTTGAGGTTCAGGACGCGCGCCCAGGTCCGTCATACGCGAATTTACCTCAGCGGGAGCCGTGTTGTGTAAGTCAGCGTGATTTTGGATATCGCTTTGAATCAGGAAGTTTTCCAGGCGCAAGTAGGTATAGTTAGGCTGCGTGATGGGACAGATATGCGCACTCGTATCGCCTTCATCTCCAGTGCCGCATACAGCTTTATTGAGAACAAAGGCATCCAGCTGCATGGGCACGAGGAGTGCCTCGAAGTCTTGGGTACTCGGCATCGTCGCTAAGCTTGTGATGGGTTTGCGACAGGCCTGAGATTGGCAGACCAAACCAGCTCTAGCAATATCAAATTATTAGAAGCAGCGATCAAAGAGGATAAGTCTACAATAGAAGCCGTTTAGATCTACTGAAGATTGGTTTTGGTAGCCTAAAGAATATAGCCTTAAGGTACTCCGAAGTCTTCGTAGTCTCCTCCCTAAGCCAGCAACCAAGCACACATTGTGCAACAAATGCATGAGGTTCACATGAACGTCATTACGTGAGCTAGGTTGTATCGTACAAGTAACATTGGAGAAGACTGTCTAATTGCCAGCTGAATATCTCCAACTAGGACGCCGGCATATCACGGGCATCCTCGGAGAAGAATGCTTCGCATAGTTCTCGGCGATGGCATGCATAGACATTTCAGACATTGCAGATCTAACGTATCGATTCTCACGTCTGCCGTACGGTAGCGTTCTCGTCTGGTTAGATTCTCCGATTCGCAAGTTGCGGGGAATATACAGAAAATTATCTAGCCGGATGCACTTTGTACTCTCCCGTCAAGTCAAAAAACTTGGAGCAGATAGTGTTAGTTGTCATTCGTTCGTGGAATCAGCGTAGTTAATATAAAGTAAGAAGCGATGGTGGGATGAGATGAGAGACGAGAGGCTATAGAAAGCCGTTTGCATATTGCATTAAGCGAGCTCCCCGGTATGTATGATATGTATGGATTGATTGATGTTGGAGAACATTGGAGAGAACGTTGATTGTTTCAGCCCCGTTGACGTTTATTATGTGGCAGGGATATACTGTACGGGACGATCATGGGAGTTGCCGTCTTGGCGTGCGTACCCGCTCAGCTAATTTAGTTCAGCTCGACCGGGATACCCTGTACATTACCCCTAATGGAAAAAAGGGGAGAGAGTTACACATCTGATTGGCTGTCGGGTAGGTAAGGTTTCAATAGTCTAGCACCCCACATTGACGTACGTCAGGTAGGTAGTATACATCACCTACCTTACCTATGCAGCACATATGTGTAAGACGCCTACTTAATGTAAGGCATGGAATATGCATATATACACCATTACCATGAACTACATGCAGTTCTAAGTTTACACCCCTCCAACACGCCTCAGAGGGATGCACTTAGCAACCTACGAAATGGAAACCGGCGTGCAAATTTATGACAGATTCCGGTCACAAGGAAAAATGAGGTAAGATTATGACTTCCTGTCCCTTGATTGAGCTGTCTTGATCAAGGAGTTGGTCTTGGCATGCGTTTCGGTACGTCTCTTCTGATATCGCTCTCACGGTGGTTCGTACGGACGGCAAGACTTCTATCGACTTTGTCTGAGACCTAAAGCCCTACTCACTGGCTTTCAAGAGGAGAGACGGGCAGCTACTTAGCGATACTGAAAAGGAGACTGGCGTGAACTATGCACACCAACTGAGGGAGCAGGTAGTTAGGCACTTCGAACCCATCATGGGCGTAACATCTAAGATGTCCGCCGACGATACTCTGAACGAGTCCTCATCTCAGGCTATCCAGAGTAATGAGCTCTACTACATCTATGCTAGCTCGGCAAAACAGGATCCAGGCGAAAACATCAATGTGCTCGTTGAAGGTAGCCCTATAGATACGTTTGTGGCTACCCTTAACGACGACAAAGTCATTATTCTGTCAGATAAGCCAAGTCCAACAGCCGACTTTGACGATAATGATGAGACAAAGATATGGTTCCAGGAACTCGACCCCACAGCTACTGGCTCTGTCACACTTGATCCCAATTTGAAAGATATTGAAAGCTTCGAATTGCAGTTCACACAACCATGGCCGCTGGTGTTCAGCTCGGCGAGCGATGTGCTTCTGTTCACATTTGGTCCGCCATTGGACGGATCAAACACTTCCAGGATCCCTCCACCTGGAGTGAACGAAGAAGGGACGATGTTGACCCTCGGTCTCGATTTTAGCGAAATATCCGATACTCCTACTAGCAAGCTCAGCGACCTCTTCTCGTACGCTGGGAGCGAAGGCATGGTCGATTATGTGCCAAGTGAGCTGTTGGACCTGACTGCAACGCTTACAACCCCTAAGCAGGGAGATCCAAAGCGCAATGCCCTTTGGTATCTCCCTGACTCGTACAAGCGCGTCGTGATGCGCTTGCAGTTCGAAGTACCCAGCTTCGAGCCTTTACAAGACCTTCTGGGCGGAATTCTAAAAGGGTTCACCCTTAATAGTGCTGAGGTAATATTCTACAAGGACATGCTGCTGGCAGCGACGGAATTGGGGCCAAAGCCTATATTCCAGGGGTCCCTTGCCTTTGGTATCGATTGCTCCGTTCAGGGCAGTGGTTCTAATGACCCCAAGGTCCCTACCACAGCAGGCATCGAAATCAGCGAATATGATATGCTTCTCACATTTCAATTCCAGTCTAAGGATTCGCTGATGGGGATTCTCAAGTGGCTTGGATCCCTGATCGATGATTCGTTGGACACACTTATCGATGGCATTCTCAACAAGAAGGAAGGTAATGCCAATGTATTTCCTGACTTTGCCTTGCGCAGGATGACGGTCAGCCTGGATACGCAAGACCCAAATAACCGGAAGTTATCATCCTTTTCCTTTGACATCGAGGTCACAGCCAACATTGGCACTGGCTCAGATCCAGTTGTATTTCTCCTTTCGTACAACTGGGACAATTTTGCAGGCGGGTTCGGTCGACTGACAGGCGAGTTATGGAATGGTAAGCAAACACATGTATAGAGAAGTAGATGAATAGCTGACATGGACTGAATAGAATTCGACCCGTCTGCGGACAAGGACCTATTACCACATGTGGAGAAATGGTCCGATCTACAGCCATTGACATCGTCCCCGGCAAAGTCAATCGACATTGTGTCCCTAATTCCTGGACAGGAAGTAGACAACATCCCCGATACGTTGCCTACAAATATCAAAATGGCTTATATGGAGCTCACAAAAGACTCCTTCGATATTAAATGCTCCATCACGGCCGATCCTCTGTCTCCAGGTTCGGCGCCTCAGCCGCGTCTGGGTGAGGTCACGCTTGAAGGTTCATTTACCTGGGGGAATAGTAGCTCCTTTGCCCTAAGTGCCTTCATCAGCGCTGCTATCGAACCAAGTCAAGATGCATTAGAAGACACTCTACCCGCAATAATCGAGGGATCGTTGAGCTATGACTCAGCTACCAAAGATTGGGATCTCAAGGCCTCCCTCACAGGGCTATACGCCTCGACTTTAGTCGAGTTCTTCGACGAGGACTCGAAAAAACACGTCGGGCCCCTTATAAACTCAATCGCCATCGACACGCTAGCTGTCGAGTACAAGTACACAAAAATAGATGGCGGACAGTCGAGAGGAAGTGAGTTTACTATTGCAGGTAACCTGCTTATCGCCGGACTGAGCCTAGGCCTCGATTTTGCATACAAAAATGGTGATTTCACCTTCTCGGCCGCGCTTAACCCGGGAGATAAATCCGCGAAAATCGGAGATGTGCTAGCAGCCATCTTAGGGCCCGACATCGAGCTTCCTGATTTCGTCTATAACACACAGCTTGTGGGCAATAATCAGAATGTCTTCAGGATTGATGTGGTTAAGAACAAAACCCCAGCTGCTGACAATGTGTCCGGGATCGACCAGGAGTCCTTCTTCTTCCTTTCGCAGCTCAATGTCGCAAATGTGCATATTGACTTTGCTCAAATGCATAATACAAACTGGGTCGCTAAGACACCATCTAAGCGGCTATTCAAGGTCTCCATTAATGGCTTCACCAAGGTAGAGCTCGAATTACCTCTCATCGGCACGTTGACGCAGCCTCTCGACGAGTTGTACTTCCTCTGGGTGCAGGATAAGCCGCCACAGGGCGCGGCGCCTGGCAAGGGAACGGGTCTAACACGTTTAGATACGGAGGAGCTCAACAACAGCCTGCAGACCACCGGGCAGGATATAATACTTGTCAACGATAAGATCAAGCCGGAGCTACGGGCTCAAGCAGATCTTTTGCTAACGTCCGGATGCCACTTCGGTGTTATTATACGTAGTAGCACAGGTGTACGCACATGTCTGCTCGACTACGAATTTATGAAACCGTCGCCGTCCAGCAGTATTGCGTTCAAGGCAGGCGAGGGCGAGGTCGACGATGGCTCCCCAAGCGCTCAGGCACCGTACAAAAAGATTGCCGGCCCATTATCAATCAGCAACGTCGGTCTAAAGTATAAGGACAAGATGCTGGCTGTCATGTTTGATGCCACTTTCCAGCTCGGTCCGCTAGGCTTCTCTCTGGTCGGCTTCTCCCTCGGCTTTGCCTTTACAACGCTTAGTGGGACCCCTACAATCACACCCGTCATTATGGGTTTAGCAGCATCGTTTGAACAGCCACCCCTGTCGATCGCCGGTGTTATTCGACATGGCAACGAAGGAGGCCTCGATTACTACGCCGGAGGTCTTACCGTCGGCTGGAAATTGTACCAGTTTGAGGCGGCTGGCTTCTACGGCATAGTAACGCCAAAGGGTACTTCTGATGGCTTTAAGACCGTTTTCGTTTTCGCCAAGCTGAATGGCCCACTTGTAACACTCGAGTTTGCCGAAATTAACTCCATCTGTGGCGGTTTCGGCTACAACAGCAGCGTTCGTCTGCCGACGGTCGATGAGGTTTACGAATTTCCCTTTATCGCAGATTCGCAGCTTAGCGGCAGCGAAAATGCTATGGCAGCCCTAGAGAAGCTTGTCGACCCAGGGGCAGGCGGCTGGTTCCAACCACTAGACAAGACGTACTGGTTGGCTGTTGGTATGGGTGTCGGCGCTTTCCAGATGCTAGCTATTGATGCTGTCGTAGTCGTACAATTTGGAAACTCTGTAAAGCTTGGTATATTTGCCGTCGCCACGGCCGATGTCCCCACACCTGCTTCATCCTTCAAGATAGCCCACGTCGAGTTGGGCATATCGGCTGTAGCAGACTTCGACTACGGTACCCTCAAGATTGATGCTCAGCTGTCTCCGCGCTCCTATATTCTAGATCCTAACTGTCACCTCACTGGTGGCTTTGGTCTGTACTATTGGTTCGACGCCCCGCACGCTGACCAGTCGACCGTTGGCCAGTATGTCTTCACCCTTGGCGGTTACCATCAAGCTTTCAATTTGCCTGTTGGCTTCCCGAATCCGCCACGCCTAGGAATCAGCTGGAATCTCGGAGGTGGCCTCACCATATCGGGCCAGGCTTACTTTGCTATTACACCTAAGGCTTGTATGGCTGGAGGTCGTCTGCACGCTGCTTTTGAAGCCGGACCGCTGTCGGCTTGGTTTGATGCTTTCGCCGACTTCCTCATTAACTATAAGCCCTTCTACTTCAACATGCAGGCCGGTGTCTCCGTGGGAGTCAGATTCAGCATCGACATTTGGTTTATCCACATCCGCATCTCGGTCGAGATTGGCGCCCAGCTGTACCTCTGGGGTCCACCAATCGCTGGTCGTGTCCACGTCGACTTCTGGATCGTCGGGTTCGACATCAACTTTGGCAACAACCAAATCCAAAACGAAGCTGTCAGCCTCGAAGACTTCTATCATCTGGTACTACAGACAGGGACAAGCCCGGCGCTATCCGCAGCTACTAGTGGCAAGCTCGCCATAGGAGCTGGAGATGATATGAAGGCCCAAAAAGAAGACAACGAGGGCCACAACTTCTTGGCCCAATCAGGGCTCTTGAACCCAGACGACAATCCCGAGCGCGACCAGACGACACCGTGGGTTGTACGCGCCGGCTCCTTTTCCTTCGTTGTAGAATGCAAAATGCCAATCAATGCCGTCAAGAACGATCCTGACGGGAGTGCTATCCTTACGCACGACGATATATATGGTAAGCCGATGAAGCTCACGAAAACCCTAGCATCGACTGTTACGGTAGTAGTTCAACAGGACGGAGAGGAGGAACCGGATGATGGATGGCAGTACGATAAGTACCTCAACCGCTTACCGCATGGGCTGTGGGCGAAGTGTAAGTCGTGATCACCTATACATGAACTAATAGCCGTTACGCAAAGCTAACGCATGGCAGACGACCCATCTACCGATCCTCGCACCAGCGGTAATAACATTCGTGACCTCCTTAACAACGACAAAGGAGCTGTCACCCTTATGTCCGGAGTCTTGATCACCGCTCCCAAGCCCACCATGGCCCCGGACCCTTTTCCTGCTTACCAAGTCGCCGATGCAGACCTACAGCGTCTCCTCTCAAAGAACCCATTCCCCAAGATCATTGACGCCGATGAAGCCTGGGCACCCGATAAGCCGGCCACTGGCGAAGTGGGAGATCAGTACACCGCAGTGCACGAGGCATGGTCCAATCCAGCGCTCGGCTCGGGCGACGACGGGCAAAAGGGATTCGTAGGGGCTTTGGCGGATAGTTTGAAGTGGAACGTTACGGAGGAGATGAAGAGTATTGCGGGAATTCCGGAGAGATTGAAAAAGGGATTTATGAATTTGTATGTAGCGGCGCCATTGATGACGAAGTGACGTGATACTTGTATTCTATTGAATAACCACAGTCTCTCCATGCTATATCACCAAGTAACTTTCAGCTTGGCCACATACAAACATAGTCCATAGTGTACGGATTATACGAAGTGGAGAACAAAATCATCGCATCGACTCGACTGATTATCCGCGTGCTTGGCTAGTCTAATCCACTAGGTTAGGTTAGAGCTAACCAATAGCGGCTAGGCGTGGACAGTGGACGGTTTTAGAACTCGCCTAGCAGGCTAGCAGCCCTGACAGCTCAGCTGGACCACCTTGCCAATTAAAAGGTGATCCGATCTTCGCCACCTCACCTCAGCAGCCGTTGCCATGTGGCGCTCTCGTGTAACAATATCATAGAGGGGCTGAGCTGAGGGGACAATATGTAGACAATTGGAGAGAATCATGTCAGCACCGTGACGAGATTTCTCGTATTTGAAATACGCTTTTCTTTCATTCCGAAGTTCCCTTCTAAGGCGCAGTCAGCGAACACGGGCTCGCGTATAGATACCAATCGCAGAGGGCTTCTAGAGAGATCATAATGAGATCATGAGCTGACAGATTGGATTATCGTCATCATTTTCGTAGGACTTTACATTTTTTTCACTCGAATATAAGTAGAATGCATCATCGTAGTAATAGGTCATATTCCATGTTCCATTCTCCCAGTTCTATTGAAAATCAGCTCAAAGTTCACAAGGAAGACTCAAAATAATTAAACTACCATTTATACCAATCGACTATTCCACTTTACAGGCCATTCCAATACTATTCTTCCATAATGTATAAGCAAATCATATTAACATCCGTTCTCTCCCTTCTCTCTCCCGCTCTTGCTCTCCCCCTTGAGCCTCGAGACACCCCCGAATTCACAATCACCAGCCTTGGCGCTACCTTTCCGTATCCCGGAGTCTACGGGGTTGATTCCGTCAACTCCTTCGTCAATGTCGCCGTGACTTACCCGGACGCTTCATCAACCAGCAGCGCCACCCTCAACACGACCTGCAGAGTTGACTGGCCTGCCGGCACTAGTCCAGGTCCAACAGACTGGACTGCGTGCGTCAATCCCGCCTTGCAATTCCGTCTGCCGGCCGATGGGTGGACCGGCAATACAAACTTCCGCGTCGAGTTATTTGAGGAGCTCGCTTCTGACGGGTGAGTAAAAAACTTGCTGCTCTAAACTTGGTCAGTTTTTACTAATGGAGAACCTATAGCACGGGTCTGGATGCCACACACATTCTCACGTTCAACCCCGGGAATTCAAGCGACCCAAATGCGTACTTGTTCTGTCTCCAGATGGGCAAGTTCAACCCCTTAACTTGCACCTTAACTGGCCCGTACGGCCAGTCACCGAGGACTGTGGTCATGTCTACCACTAATGAGAACGGAAGACCTAATTAGAGCATTAGACAGAGGGCTTGGGCTTATTCCCAGACAACCGGGATGCGGATAGAAAAGGATAGACTGGGGCATCTTTTTAAAATGGGATGGAGTCACACGACTTGGTTGGGATATGCACGAATGATAACGACTTTAAAGATGGCGTGCCAGTAGGTAAATACTCATAATATTTTAATAAGATTATTTCCAGCTTTTAGTAATACGAATATAATATCTTGTGACATTACCTAGATGGATGAAGGTGCTTAAAGGGAGTTGACGTAATCAGCAGACACGACGGAGAAAATCATATTAGTCAATACGGTTCAGACAGGCGGTTTCTTGCGAATAATAACTACCAGTCGGGTTTTAGGTCGGAATCGGGGTATGTTGCGAAGGGCTACGGGCTTTACCTACAATGTCCAATAGGGCTGCGAACACTGGCTGCAAACGAGTGGCTTGGCTCGCTTCGAACCAGACTCGAGGGGATGTTGTCGCTTTCCTTCTTTTTCTCCATGGTTTCCCCCGGATAATCAACCCATTAATATTCCTTTTCCATAAGGTACTCGAACCAATAACTAGAATAATTTAGGTATCTACCCCTGAAGCATTCTACTGAGTCCAAGGCTCTAATCACTTCCGGTTTCCAGAACTAAACGTCACAATTCCGTTACATGATGGGAGATACTCAAGTTGGCGACAATATTACGGAAGAACGCTGCTTCGTCCACACCCCTATGACTGACGCACGAAACCAGATTCGCCTCTTACAAATACACCATGCCAAACGTGACGAACCCGTTCATTGCAGTCTGTCAACTTGGTCACTCAGCAAACTGCCTCCATACCACGCCATCTCGTACACATGGGGGGATCCTTCGCAAACCACATACATCTCTATCAACAAGCAACCGCTCAAAGTCAGAAGAAGCTGTGAGTATGTCTTACGCCAAGCCAAATGGCATGAAAGAAACTTGCGAAACCTATGTGCGTGGCGCCATCGTTATTACTGGATAGATGCCATCTGTATCAATCAGACAGACAACGAGGAAAAAAGCCACCAAGTACAAATGATGGGAAAGATATATCGCCTGGCTTCCTGTGTGCTATCCTGCATCGGGCCACATGCAGACAATAGCAAATTCCTCCTTGATTTCGTGCGAAGAAATTATTTTTATTTAAAATCTGCCTTCACCGCTAATGGAAACCGGAAACCTTCTAAGCTGGGACAACTATGGTTGGCAGGGTTGGGTAATCCTAGGTCTGCTCTCTCAGTGTCTATGCAGGTCCTCGGACGGGCAAAGAGGGCCAAAGACGCCTTTATACGCCGACCGTACTTCACCCGCCTTTGGATTCTACAGGAGATGTTCGCAGCTCGTAAAGTCCACGTTTGCTGCGGCGAAGACTCCGTGCCTATGGATTATCTCCGCGCATTTCGCCCTAGTTTAACACGTTCATCTCCGAGATATAGAAATAATAATACCCCGCAAGAGAAATTGACTCCTTCGACCATCGAGGAAAGGATCTGCTGGGTTCACTTCGCGAACTATGGATGCACAGAGTATGTAGCGCCTCTGGGTCTTTATACTGCACTTGGACAGTCTATGTTTTTGTGCTGCCAGGATCCAAGGGATAAGATCTACGGAATCCTCACAGTGACTGGTTGGAATGAAAACGGCCCCCTAAGTGTCGATTATAAAAAGTCGCTTTTTGAAGTAGCCGTAGATACACTGAGGGCCGTAGCCCAAGACGCGAGGGTAGAGTTTCATTGGGATACTACTCTCTGGCCGTTAACCGGCCGGATTTTTCAGTGTTTGAATATTGAAGCTTGTCCATACCTGAAGAAGGCCTTAGACTCACGAAGAACTATGCCTCGATTGAACGATACTGAAGACAGTTCTCCGATGACTTATTTGCACGAAACGGCAGAAGAAAACCGGGTTGTTGGCTCAAAGACATTTGCCACCGTGTGTAGACCATTATGTACGTTTAAGCGCTGGCTAGGGCTACGAATTGTGTCGATGGGAGGTATACTTGGGTTCCTGTTTCCGTTCGGAAATGGTCAACAGCAGTTCATCAAGGGAAACGGTTCGTTAGTAGAGATGCCGTTGTTCGTGAGATGTCCATCTGGAGAGTTTCGAAAGTCAACCAACCTTGAAACCGTAAGTTTTCTATTGCCGGCTGGAACTCGAGATGGTGACTGGATAATATTTAGAAAATGCAGGTCCCGGCGTACAGACAACCAAGAACCAGGCTGTATATTAGCCGTGCGACAGCGAGGTGGTGTTAATCCGCGTCGCTATGATATCTGTGGACAGGCAGTGCCCATGGAAAGGGGGAGATTAATCCATGGTGAAGAATGTGAAGACTTCGGCTTCTTCCATCAGCTCGGGACCGACTGGGGAAGTTTCCAAGATGGTTTTGATGTGCATTTCGATGTAGAGGATCTTCTCGTACTTGTAGCCCAGCTAAATGGGCCAAGGCGTTCTAAATCGGATCGGGAGCACGGTGATGAACAAATAAGGAGGATAAGAACGAGTGTTTGCCGCTTTGATGGCTCGTCCTATGCGGTTGCAATCTGAGGAAGTGATCATGAAATATAGCAGAATAACGTCAAAAAAGATGGCACACCTACCAGCATAATTGTTAGTAGACTGCGCCAGTTATTTTGCCGCTATTCTGCGCAGCCAGTGTTAGCCTCGTTGTAAATAAAATACATGGTCAAATAGGCCATGCTCGGGGGTTTCAAGCAATGTATTCTATTACTTTTCTAACGTTAAATGTATGAGATTATATCTAACTCTTAGAAGTTAGGGTGTTTTCAGTGTAACTATTTGATAGGATGCGCTACTCTTTTTTTACGCCTTTCTGCCAAGATGTATTCTCATCCTCCGCACATTTAAGACTCCTCTAGGTTAGAATACTTCCTATGTAATACAGCTTCTATTAGATTGATACAATGATCATACTACATACAGACTCAATGTCACCTTGGCACTCCGCTTTCATGTATAAGTCATATCCTCCCCTCATTACCCCCACCACTCTTATTAATGTTAGAAACAGAAACTACACCTACCCACCTAGATTTCTACTTGAATGATAGCCTCCATTTGAAGGAAATAAGTTATCTAACGCCCAATACACTATGTCGCCCACGCCAGAAGCCATTCTCGCCCAACTTCAGGCAACCGGCTCCGCGTATTCCGAGAAGAAACCGGGAGCCCGGGAACAACTCCTAAACCTCGCTCATTCCTTGATTTCAAGCTTGGAGCTTCCAAGTGAATCTATCCAGCGAATAGGCTGGGCTGGGGTACTTATTCGAGATAGATACTTTTTCTAAGGCTCTGCATTATTGACTGGCATGAACATCATAGCCCGCCAGAGCCGCACACTGTCGCATGGCGGTCGACTTGGGGATATTTGAATCCTTAAAAGACAGCGGCGAGGTAGATATCAGTGGGAAAGACTTGGCCGCGAAAGCTGGTGCCGATGAGACTCTGATTGGTACGTTACCTGAAATAATAACTAGGTACTCGTGTCGCGTCGCATAGGTAGATTGTTGATGCTCGCGAAAGCACGAACCTTGAAGCATCTTGCTGCTATGAATGTCGTTGCCGAGACGGGTGCGGATAAGTACGTTGGGACGCCCCTGAGCAACGCTCTGACCGAGCCGAAGTATCGAGACGGCATCATTTACACGTACGTAGGAAAAGTCTCCCATCAGCTCGATATCCGGCTTCCCCCCCTATTGGATACCTACTTACGGGTCCTTATAATATTTACAGATACGACGTGGCCGGCCCGTCGTTCCGTGGTCTACCCGAGTACTTGAAGAGCATCAAGTATGCACTTCCAACGAAGCTAACGGACGGGCCTTTCCAAGCCGCTCATAAAACAGAGCTTCCATTCTTCGCATGGCTAGATCAAAACCCGCCCTACTGAGAGAAATTCAACAACTACATGTCGGCGTACCGCGCCGGGAAACCTTCGTGGGTTGATCAAGGCTTTTACCCGATCGAAGAGCGTCTCGTCCAAGGTTTTGATGCTGATACCGGGGGCAACGACGTCCTCCTCGTTGACGTCGGCGGTGGTCTAGGACACGACCTACTCGAGCTGAAAGAAAAGCACCCTTCGCTCCCCGGCAAACTCATCCTACAGGACCGCCCCGAGGTCATCTCAGCCGTTTCCAGCGAGGGTGTGTTCGAAGCCACAGCTCACGACTTCTTCGCTCCTCAGCCCGTAAAAGAAGCCCGGGCGTACTACCTACACTCCGTGCTCCACGACTGGGGCGACGACGACTGCGTTCGCATCCTCGAACAGCTACGGCCTGCGATAAGATCGGGTTACTCAAAACTGCTCGTGAATGAAATTATTGTTCCCGATCGCAACCCGACGTGGCCCGTTACCTCGATGGACCAGATAGTATTTGTGCTTGGCGCCATGGGGGAGCGTACGCAGGCTCGCTGGGAGGCTATTTTGAAGCGGGCCGGCTTTAAAGTTGTGCATGTATATAACTACGAGATGGGATCCGAAAGCCTTATCGAGGCGGAATTAGCATAGCGGAGGTCAAAGAGTATGAGCAACTAGGTAATTATCGTCATATTTATTTATATTTCTACCTTCCGCAATTATGATCAGATGATTAACGTCAGGACGGCGTAAAAGAATACAGCCAACGTGGATAAGTAGGGGGTAGATAATAGACACCCTTCCTTTTTTTATTTTTTTATTTTCTGAATCGTCGCCCCTATAGAATAGTAGTACCTTACCACGCAATCATCCCGCCGAAGCTACCGACATACCTGATCAAACCCCCGGCGGCCGCGACCCCCCCACCGGATCCGGCGCAAACAAATAATGCCCATCAAACCCATCCCGCCACGCCTCATCCACGCCCGGATTCCCCTCCGCCGTCGCGCCCACGTCTCTCGCGCCGTACTCAAGCATCGGGTAGCACCACACGAGCCTCTCGCCCCCCGGCTCGCCCGCAAACAGCACCACCACCCCGGCAAACATCCCGTGCTCGTCGAGCACGACGCGGTGGTCCCCGGGGGGTCCGGAGACGGGCGCGCCCGCGATGCCGGGCCACTCGCCCAGCGGCGTGGGGTTCACAGGGAACAGGAAGAGCTCGCCCTCGGCGCGGCCTAGGTCCACGCGCTGCGCGCGGTAGTCTGGTAGCCACTGTGGTGGCGACCGGTTGGTTAGTAGGTAATTGCTTCGTTTAGGAAAAGGCGCTAGGAGTCCGGACGTATAGTAGGTAACTCTTCACAGGAGATACTTGTTTCCGGAGACAAGCTACAAAAAGAAATTTAAATAGAAAAAAATATAAAAAAGGAGAGGGCGAGGGGCTACGCACCACCGAGTGCGGGTGCTCGAGACCGCTCCAGCGCGGCCGAAGCTCGCCCGGGTGCGCGATGTACCAAGCGCCGCGCCGGAAGGCCTGGTATACGGCTCTCGCGTTGAACACGGTGAAGAGAACGCGCGGGTGAGGACATACGTAGTACTATAATAATAATAATCGAGTTAGCAATTACTTATTTACCTACCTACGCTTTGGAGCTGGCAAAAAAAAGGGGGGGGATGTGGGGGAGAGAGAGGGAAGGAATAGGTTTATTTTCGACGGCACATACAGCAGCGATGCGGTTATCTGGATTATCGCGGTTCCAGTCGTCGATATCATCTCGCTTCTCCAGGAGCGGAAGAGCGACGACAGCGACAGTTCGGTTCCATGCTTCAACGACGGGATCCTCGGCCACAGCAACTGTCTTGACGTCGTGGTCGTGGTCGCGGTTGTAGTTTTTCCCGTGCAACTCGGCGCAAGGCGCAGCAAAAACGACGGAAGAAAATAAAACGAAAAGGAAAGCGTAAAGCTTCATTTTGACGGCTTGTCTTTCCGGGTTCGATCGGGTTCCGGCTTGGAGTTTATAGTTGTAGATAGTATGTAAAGTGGACGTTTTACAACGCCTAAAGGAATACCGAAATACATATGAGTTGGAAAGTTGAAAGGCGCGCCCTCTAATAAAATCAGGTGGTGTACCTGTGATAAGATATTTGCTGTAGAACGTGTACCGAATTGGTGGGCTTGATTCCTGGCGCCTAAGGATTCCATGTGCGGACACCTTATGGATGCGGTACCTAGGTAGGTATTTACGCGCGAGAGTACATCAAGGGTACTGATAGAAATACTTGTTCTAGTCATACAGATATCTTCCCGCCGTAACATATTATATTTCGTCTTGGTTACTTCTTTCTGCTCAGATAGTGCCAGTTTTCCAGTAACGGACGATAAGGGATCAGAACATTCTCAGTGGGGACCAGATTTCTTCAGCGATAGACTCGTCAATATAATATTAGCATAGCAGTTCTTGTCTAGAAAGATAATTTATTTAAAGCTCACCCTATGTCACAATTGGGAATGATAAAACATGCCCCCTCAGCCTAATCAACAACGACAACCTCCTGATCATCCTCCTCTATCTTAATTTCCTCGTAATCAAACCTCCGGCCCCTCGAAGGCACCGGCTTAGCCAAAACCACCGTCTCGATGCCAACCGGGCTCGTATCCTCCGGTCCCATAGGCAGGGCCTCAACATCGATTTCCATATTTAATAACGCCTTAATTATAACCGCGCTACCAGCCTTACTCATAACCTCATTAGCCTCCTTACAGAACTCCGAGCACACGCACTCAGGACACCCTGTCTGACAACGGCAGTGCTGGACCCGTTCTAGAGCCTGTACGAGTAGCATGTCGATGAACTCGAACGCCTTAGTGCTAATGCCGGTTCCGTTGGCGCCGCCCTTCGCGTCGTAGAACGTCAGCCGAGCAGGCCTCTTCCGCGAAGTTTCCTTCCGCGCGAACTCCTTTAGCCCCGATTTGCATTCCGTCCGGACGTCATCCGGCATGCTTATGACGAAGTTAGGCATCAGGCTCATGATAGCATGCTCGGCAGCGTGAATAGCGCCCGCCACGTGGAGACGTCGGTCGACGAGGATCTCGAGGGCACGCTTCGGAACGTCGAGCCACATGCCTTTGCTATGTCGGATGATGGGAGGGTTATCGACTTGTACGGCGTCGAGGATGCGGCGCTTCCTATCTACTTTGAAGTAGCCAAAGACGTTCTGGGTAATGCGTATTGAGCCGTGAAAGGCGCGCGAGAGCGAGCCCGGGATTTTACGCATCGCCTCTGTTTCCACAGGGTCCACGTCGGTGAAGTCTCGCTGTTCCGTGGTCCATTCCACCTTGACCTTTTCTACCTTGGCAATCTTTCTATCTGGTTGGAAATCGCGTACCAGGTACGAGTTGCCCTGATGTAAAAATATCGCGCCATCATATATAGTAAAGAAGGCCCTCGATGCTTCTAATTCCTCAAGTACCACGTTCCTCCCATGTGATATATCAACTATTGCGAAATGATCCTCCTCGGTATCTCTAATCGCAACAAACCTTGATGGCATCGGTCTAAATCTGTCATGGCAATGGTAGTACCCGAGCTCGTCTTTAATAAGGCGCTCTTCTGCGATCTTCGCCAGGTCTTTCGCAAAATAGATAGCATCGTCGACGGGCTTGATCGGCATCTCATATGCTGCGCACTGTAAATGACCCTCCAAGACAAGCATGTTGCTTAAATCAACTTGAAGTTCGCAGTTGGGCTTCGTGAAAAGTTCATCGGGATTCTGCATGTAGTGCTGATCGGTTGGGAAGCAATCACCCACCAGCACAGACAGAGAATCTTTGTTTCTCCTACCAGCTCTCCCACTCTGCTGCCTCAGATTTGAAATCGTGTATGGGAATCCTAGTGTAATGACACAGTCTAAGGTACCAATATCGACACCTAGTTCCAAGGCAGTAGTAGCAATGATTCCCATGAGCTTGCCCTCGAACATTTCGCTCTCAATCTGTCGACGGTCTTGTGCCGTGTATCCACCTCGGTAACCCATAACACGTGCCATGCATTCTGGCCGACCCAATGATTCTAATTCGTATCTGGCAGCATTCACTAGCTCTTCGCATTGCTTTCTCACGCGGCAGAACGCTATCACACGAACGCCGCGTAGGATGAGCTGGCAGAATAAGCGAGCGCATTCGGCTATGGCATTTCCGCGCCCGCTAGTTGGATCGCCGGGGTCCTTATAAGGCGTGTTCCAGCAGAGAAACTCTTTGCGCCCAGATGGCGACCCGTCGAAATCAACTAAATGTACATCATCAATTCCAAAGATGGTCTTAAAATGCTCTCGCGGATTTGCCACGGTAGCAGAGCACGATACGAACTTAACCTTTCGGTTGCCGACAGCGGCACATATGCGTCGAAGCCGCCTCATGATGAATGCAACATGCGAGCCCATCAAGCCATTATAGTAGTGCAATTCGTCAACTATCCGAGAATTAGTCGTGCAAATACATTTTCTTGATTAGGAGTTTACCTACCGACAACATAGCGTAAGTACTTTAGAAAAGTTCGCCATCTATCTTCTTGAGGGAGAATCGTAAGGTGAAGCATGTCCGGATTAGTAAAGATGACCCGTGCCTCGTCACGTATTTGATTTCTATCGTGCATCGGGGTATCTCCGTCAAACGTCTCAACGAGGGTATTTTCCAGCCTCGTAAAGTACGCAAGCATCTCTTTTAAGCTTTTTTTCTGATCCTGAGCTAATGCCTTCGTTGGAAAGATGTATATAGCTCGAGTATTGGGGTCCTGTTCCAACGCGTGTAGGACAGGAAGCTGGTATATGAGGGACTTCCCTGAGCTTGTCGAGGTTGCGACGACAACATGACGGCCCGCGTGAAGATTATTGATCGCTTCAGTCTGGTGAGCATAGAACTGGGTGATTCCTTTCGCATTGTATAGAGCATTCACCATATCCTGACTCAGTAGAAAATCAAGCTCCCCGAAAACGGGATCCTGAGCGTCAAACACGCGGTGTCCATCCGGCACAATTTGACCAGTATACCACGGACTGTCTTTGATTTCTTGTATGATTTCAGGAATGCTCTTCCTCTCCTTGGGTATCGATGCGGGTATAGTGCTAGGTTCTGGCTGAGGGGTAGTGATTTCTGACAGAGTAGGAATCGGGATATATGCTTCTGCTTCTTGGCGAATCATTACCTCTGGATCCAGATTTTCTTCTACGCAGCTGTTTATAAAGGAACTCACGGCATTCGCGAATTTTTGATTACGCTTCTCAATCAGAGTTGTCAGTTGTTTCTGGCTGTAAACTGGCATTTTCAAGTCCTCGTCCCGAAGCCTCCTATTCGGATTTATGGGTTCCCCTGTCTTTTTGCTCTGGACCTGTCTCTTGAGGTCACCGTCAATAAACTCAAAGTAAAGAACCTCTTGACCACTTGATGGCAAATCATCGGGATGTCGACTACCAAGTTCGTCTAAACCAGTAAATCCGCCAACGGAGGCATCCGGGGCAGGACCTTGAACTGTGATATTCCTTGATTTACCAGTCTTAAACGTAGAGTCTCTTTCAGCTCCCTTGATGTCGGTATGCAACATTATCTCATCCACGTAGGCAAAATTGATACCTTCCGGTCGCAGTGCCACGATAGCCGCGACATCCTCGACTGTCAACTCCCGCTTCGTATTGGACTCCACTGAGGACCGAATAGTATCAAAAGTTGTCGCAATGTGCTTGCGTGTAGAGCAGAAGGTGAAGACTAGGTTCAAAGCCCTATGAGTCTTGTCCAAATCCTTGAATACCTGCGGCCATTCAATTTGGCACTCAACATCCGTATTTGCCTTCTTCTTGCGTTGAGGCGTTGCGTTCTTTCTCGATTTCTCGGTGTTTAATTCCTTAAGGGTCTCTTCCGAATCCTCTAAGAAATCGTCTCTGCCTTCTTCGGATGGTTGCCTCTTCCTCTTCCGTTTAATGATTCTATTCGAAACCGTAGCTGCCTTAAGAGCAGACATCTCATCCGTAATCAAGATGTATGAGGGAAATTATGCTTACCTAAGTTAGAAGACCCTTAGTCCTAATATACGCGCTTTACGTTGACGTAGTTAGACTGGCAGGTCGAACTGGTCGCGCATCTTGTGGCGCGAAATGCGGACGGAAGCACGTGACCACTTGGCTTTATCGAAGTGTCTTAGGTACTTTTAATGATGTAAATCTTGGGTAATATACCCAGGTACCTTGGGTAAGTACCCAAATAACCTCCCCCAACTACCTCCTAGAAAGGAGGCTTAAGAGGTTAGGTGTATACAAATAATAAAGATCGAAATCTAGTCTAAGGTCTTATCCAAAACATTCTTACGTATAAGAGAGTTAGTTAAAAAAGAGTTATGGTTACCTAGGTACCTAGGCAGTTAGTCCAAGTACTACGTAACTCCTTAGTCCTTCCCAACGCCCATAAGAATAGGAATCATTTGATAAAAGTTTCTATTCATGAAAATTAACTACTTGATAGAGATTAATCCAACGCGATGCCGCAAACGGTTATTCCACAGAGCGTTTCGCGTAACGGAATGGTGCCAGCATTTATGGGTATGAGCTCTATTATCACAGAATTGCCGCCGACAAATATCCGTGCCACCGTTGTTCATCTATGCCTCATAAGCGTGCAATTCTTCCAGAGTACCGATACCCATGCCTCTCCTGAAAATGCTTAATGCAAAACTCCCTTACCATCTCTAAACGCTTCGTGGTATGCATCACACATCTAGGACCGCTTCTCGAAAAACGAGGACGCATCGACTCTCTTCTTCCTACCTCGCGTCATAGGGCCATCCGACTCTGCGACTTTGCGCTTAATTGAAGCCTCGGATGAAGGCCCACTCTCTAGACCCAAGCTGCTAGAAACCTCCTCATCGGACCCTTCCCAGCTCGATTCCTTTAGGGTTGGCCAGGGTAAATGATCATTAGAACCATCATCAGATTCGGCGCGTGGTAGCCCCCGCTCCGGCATGGGAGCCACATCATCAATCCCTTCATTATTCTTCTTTCCGTCGCCCAAGTGTTTCTCTGCATCAGCATTAAGATTCTCTGCTTTGTCATTCTTAGAACCAGACGTGTTGGCAACTGAAGTCGGAGTACCATTGGTTCCATCAGCTGCCTAAACTGATTGAAGTTCACGCTGTATCTTTCCGACCTCGTTTAGGAAGCTCTTAGCATTCGCCGTGTTCATCTATAAGATAGTTAGTACTTTAGTGCATCTTATACGCCTTAGGACATGTACCTTTACTTGAACGCTAACAGCGCCCTCATCTTCTATAGCCGTGAAGAGTACGTGAGTTGCCTTAGCTGTAGACTTCTCCTGGAAATGCATGGCCGGAATTATGACAGTGTTAAGAATCACACGGTGGGTAGAATCTTGCCGCATGATCAAACGAACGACCTTGGCATCGGCACTGTCTAGAGCAGATGCATCAAAGGATCCAGGAATAGCTGCACCGGTATCTTCGTCAATGTCGACGCAAGCTAGAGGCACGTTGATCTTCAGGTTTCCAGCGCCCCGTTCTTTCCAGGAGGAACTAGCTTTGTCGAGATGGAAGATCTTGGCACGAACTTGCAGGATGGTAGCTTCACCAGCCTCACCATCGTCTATGACCACTATATGGTTCGTCAGCTCTATGCTAAATTATATGGCGACGTCCGATAACTCACCTCGCTGAAGCTTTGGCTTCTTCTTGTCATCCGTCGCAGTCTTCTCTTCTTGAGCTTCTTTATCTTCGTTATCAGCCCTGTTCTCATCTTCAGAGTTGCCGCCATCCTCTCCATTATTGTCTTCCTCCTCGCTCACGGGTGCTCCGAATGGCTTAGCCGGTTTGCTGCTCTTAAATGATTCACCGGGCTTACCAAAGCTAGTGAACTTTGATTCGCCAAACTTGCCGCCAAATGTTCCGCCGAAGACGGTACTGCCGAAAGGCTTCGCCGCTCCTCCTACTTGACCAAAAGGAGAGGTACCGTTAGACAAGCTGGAACTGCCGAATATAGATGTTGTAGATGTTGTGGCAGCAGCGCCAAATGGTGACTGTGAGCCAGATGGACTAGCGAAAGAAGATAAGGGCTTGGAGCCGGGCTGTAAAAATGGCGATGTTTGAGAAGCGAATCCTGCGATTCCAGAGCTGCTAAAAGCTGAGCTAGATGTTGTGCTTGTAATTTTTCCCTTCTCAGCATCGATATTTTCCTTTGCCGCCGCCTGCTTCTCAGTACTTGGCGTGTCGTTCTTGGCATTCGTCTTAGCTTCAGGGCCGTCGTTGGAATCGGATGGAGCCTGTTGATGATCAGTAGGAGATTCGAATACCAAATTAGTCCAGATACTCTTACAGTAAGCGCATCCGCTTTTACTTTATATTCGCTCGAGACGTCGCGAGGACGTTTCTTCTCGGGCTCAGTAATGGCCGATTCAGCGCCGATAGGAGATACATCGCCTTCTGAGGAGGTATCATTCGGGTTGTCTACCTCATCGCGCGCCCGCTTTTTCTTTGGGGACGACACCTGGTTTCTTAAGCTATTGTTACGAAGCTCAAGAGACTCGCGATCGGGTGCGGCATCTTTGTCCGATGGCTTATCACCGCTCGTGGCGGCGTTGGGCGCGGGGTCAACTTTGGCGGCGGACATGATAGATAAGTCGGGTTTGTCAGAGATTACCGTTTGTCTCAATTCCTTGCGTGCGGCGGCTGTGTCCGGATCTTCAAGAGAAGGTTGATCTGGTGTCGGACTGCGTTTGTTGGTAGCCATTAAATAAGATTATACCCAAGGTGCCTGTGCACGGTCGTGACAAAGGGTTCTAAAGTTGTTGCGTAGGAAGAAAATAGTTTGCGTTAAAAACAGTGAGTTGTAAACTCTTTGTTGAACCAGGTAGAAAATGTAGAAGTGGTTCCACAAAACCAAGGTGTTGGTGGATAAGACAGCTGGATAGATTGAGCAGAGAGACTCGATCGGTGGTAGAAGTGGTAAAAGTGGTAGTTGGGTTAGTTCGAGGAAAGCTGAGGCTGCGCGTTACTTTGTAATAGTGACGATTTCGATGTGGATCGTGCCGTGCCCATTGTAATTCTGAGCTGCCTGCAGCACTGAAAAGGTACATGATTTTAGGTTAGGTACGTAGGTTGGTATAAGGTACTGAACGTTAAATTATGGGGCCGGATAAACCTGGGCTAAACGTGGCTAGGTGCTGTATGTACACATTTAGGTATATCTAGGTACAATAGGTACCTACACTAGGTGCATATTTAGTTGAAGCATGGACGTTTTAATACAGTGGTTTTAATATACCTAGGTACCTTGGGTATTGTACGTGGGTTGTCTCATATCCAAAAGAGCAACCTTAAGCCCATTTCTGAAGTTGTGCAGTAAAAAATACCCCCATTGGATCCCTACTGTATCTGGACCCATTTGATGCAATGCAAGATGGCGGTTATCTCTTTTACATGATGAGTATTGGCATCCAACCAAGCAATATCGGTCAACATAAAGTCGGGCTAGCTAATATTAGAACGACCCAGCAGCGTCGTACATGTGGTGTGGCCATGCAATCCACTTGCTCGTCGACGATTATTACATATAAGAATTCCAACTCGGTTTCGATATGCAGTAGTAGGGCATGTATAAAAAAGGTAGATATTGCACATAGGCTCTAAGCCTATACACCTCAAACACCTAATACTTCATCGTATATAAAGGCGTCAATTTTCTTTATGCCTTGACGTCGACAACACTCCGTAATATTGTTCGATTCCATCGTATAGTAACATGCGTCATCGTCCAAAACTTACACCGAAGGAACATTCTAAAGGCATGAGAATATATATATGAAGTATGTTTATATACACATTATAAGGCGTTTAGAAGAACAGTACATCCTTATCCTTCCAGCCCAAATCCTTTAAGATAGAGTGGACACTCTTCTCAAGTGGTTCGGGTCCGCAGATGAGTACTAAGTCCTCGTCATTGGTGCTCTTACAAGAGCCTATTTCCCTCTCGAGGAGCTCTTTATCTATCCGGCCCCTGAGGCCAGCCCACGATGGCCCGGGCTGACTAAGCGTATATAACAAGCGGCACTTGGAGTTGTTGCCGATGACCATATTGTCAATGTCAGTCTTGCAGAGGATATCTTGTTCGATACGGTTGCCGTCGATGACTAGGCACGTAGTAGGATCCTCCCGATCCATTAACACGGCGCGGAGGACTTGGAATATCGGTGTGATTCCAGACCCGCCGCAGATCATGAAAAACCGCTTGACCTTCCGTTGTTGCCCCTGAATCGAACATATGCCCCGGCCGAGGTATTCAAATTTTCCTACCGGGCCTTTAAAGTCGACAAAGTGACCAATAGGGATTGTGTCTAGCGCCTGTGTCATTTTGCCGCCTTTTCTTCCCTGTGTGTCGTAATAAATCTTGATGAGAACGTGTAGCTTTCCTTTCTCCGTTGTCTCTGAAATAGGTGTGTATGATCGTATGATAGCCTCACGTGTAACCGGGTCGCGCAATCGCATCATCAAGTGCTGGCCTATAGGAAGGCCGGAAGTTTGGTTAACGTGCTCAAGATCAAAGGTAAAGATCTTAGTATCGTTTGATATCTTCGTTTTAGCACATAGGATAGCCTTTGTCCATGTTTTAGATTGTAAGAATGTTGCTCGTAGTGCTGATGCTGTCTCAGTGATTGCGTCTCCATCTGCTAGGGCAGCTCGCGAAGTCTCATCGAGTGCGCCAATGTGATAATCCACAAGCATCGCCTTGGCATTCTCGCTGTCTATTGATATATAAGCTCAATCCTTAATCGTAATAAGAGCTTGCGGACTTACGAATGGCAAGAAACTCTTCGCTAGCATCCTGTCCAGCGGCACCAATAATCGAAGCCGCCCCTCCGGGATGCCCTTCCAGGAATTTAGCCCCATCGTAAACTTGTCCGTTAACCACAAACCATGGCTCGTTTTCGCCATCATGTTTCTTCAGCTCGTCGATACTGATTATTCGGGTTATATCCTTATTAGTCATGCAAATATCGTTAACCTGCTCTTCTTCGGCGGCACTCTCTTCCTCGCCAGATATCATTTCTCCCCAGTATCCATTAGAAAGATTTCCTCCGTTCTTCTTAACTCGTTCCATCCAACCACCCGGAATTAACGCCGGCTGTGTTGGGTGCTCAAATCGCAGCGAATGGCCTTCCTTATGTATAACGACTCGAAACCATGGGTTATTCATCATGCCCAAAACGCTCCAGTACATGTCCCGCGGTTGCACCATCATAGATTCGTCCATTGCTCGTACCAGAATATCATCCGCTGTCTGCAGTTGCGATACTGGAATATCCAAGTACCAAAAACACCAACAGAAGCAGGCTTCTCTCCAGGACATGTCCAGTCGCCCACCAAATAGCTCTTCCCCCTCAGGCGCAAGTCGGTATTCATCTTCGGGGTACGAAATATTAGCAAGCATCCAAGATTTTCCCTTGTCGAGGGTTATTTCGACTCTGGTAACTCTCTTTCCCCCTCCGGCGTAAGCATAGCCGCGGACTCGGTAGCTTTGAACGTTCCCCGTTAATGACAGCTTTTCTTCATGTTCTGGATAACAAGTGGCACTATTTGTGTTTAGATCGTAGATAGCATAACGTTCGTCTCTCCAAGCGTCCGGCATGTCAGCACTCATCTCAGGGGTGATCATTGTGGGTAACACTCTATTATCATAGATATGATACCAATTATCACTAGGCGCCGCTGTGACGATGATCCTCTTTAACCACTTCACACTTCGACCTCCGATCTGTCCTGGAACAATGACCCGAAGAGGTTTCCCATGGTCAGGAGGAAGCGGTTCGCCATTCATCTTATGGGCAACCATGATCCCACGGTTAGGATCCATAGCCCAATTCATTTTGACACATGTCCCATAGTAGCCATTGGGCAACTTATCAGCTCCTTCGAAGCATACGTACTTCGCTCCGCGCTTTGGTCTTGCTGCTTTTAGTAAATCGCCGATCACAACCCCAGTCCATAGCGCTGTCGATAAGCCCGCCGCTCCCCAAGAGAATCCTTTTGTTTTCCTTACTATATTCTGCTCCTTTCTCCGGTTGCCTGCGCATACAAGAGTAACCGGGTAGGTTACTTGCTCGTATTTTCGAATAAGCTGTGCAAGACTCATTCTAATAGGAGCTTCCACCATGCCCTCTATCGTAAACTCCCAGTCCATCATCTCCGAGTCTTCTACTCGAGGCACCGCTCCATGGTTGCGGACGTAATGGAGATCTTTCGTTGTTATAAAACCCTCGTTGAAGAGCTCACTTAATGGCGCCTCGACATTGAAGGGATGGACGCCTGTAAGGCGGATTAACCGAGAATCTCTAACAACATGGCGATCTGGAGTCCTGAGATCCTCCGCCAACACGTAATTATCAGATTTACTTCGCGGCGGGAGGGGGTATATTCGAGAAATTTCAGGTTTCGATTCGTCGACATTGTGTGGCAGCGTCTGGATCTCAAAATCACTACTGGTAGTTGATTCTCTTCTCGAGCTACTTTGCGTGGCCGGTGGAGATGGAGGATATCGAAGTAGATGCGCTGCAGATGGTCGCTGGCTCTCGACAGGTATATTAAAAAATTCCATTGTACGTGATGAAATGTGAGTTGGGGTTAACACAGAGATATTAGCACGCTGGTGTTGGTTATAGGATATATGTCATCATGCATGCAAAGCTCCCACGTAAGACAAGATATTCCTACACTGGGCTTCCAAAATTCCGAGAAAGGGGGTAATATGACTCGACACTTAAAACTAGGAGTAAACATATACAATAGGGATAGAAAGGATTAAATTTCGCGAATAAAGAGCAGTACGAAAATAAGTAAAGAGCAATAACATCGGGTGAAAATACGCATCTCCATTTTGAGGCATCGTGTCCATAATTACGGACTAGAGTAACTGACCATCGGTCCACCAGATCGACTACTTGATCAAGGATTTCTGTCCCCGGTTCGCGATTAGGGGCGCAAGAGAGCAACTCCGACTTTTTGCCATCCATTGATATGCAGACAACCGCCTCGGAGACGGGCCGGCTAGAAACCGTGACAATAAAATTATAGTAATGATATATCGTCAGAACCTATAAGTGGCTTACACACTATGCGGCACTGCAGATAGGAGTGCCTCAAGCACCCTAAGTTAGCTATCGGATCTGGGGATATTTGAAGCGAGGAGATGCATAAGTCAGTCGAGGAAATCCCCGCGGATGTGTTCAACGCAGAGATATTTGACGCAGCCTGGGCGTTATCAGAAGCAATTGGATTTCCTTAACAAGATTGACCATGACAGCGAATCATGACCAATGATAAGGGTAACAACTTTGGCGTCAGCGGAGATATGAAAATCGCCTAGACTGGACGGGTAGAATGGGTTACCTAGACATCACCTCGTGCCCCATCAAAACTATCCGCTAGCTTATGTGGAATATGAAGCCTTTAAAACGAAGGGGATATGTAAGACCCTTTCGTGCTTTACCCACATTGGATTCCTAGTGCAGGATTCTGGTCCAACACCAAGGAGTTATCTATCAGATGGTGACGTGATGTCAACAGCGATACCTCGTAAATGGGAACGAATAAGCCGACGAGCCGACATATTAATAAAAAGGAGGTGAGGAGGCGTGAAGATCAAAAACCGAAGACCCGAGTTTCTCGGTACTCGTCCTGAAGAAAAATATTCGGATAGTCGATCTGGAGTTTTACTTAAGTAAGGTAGTTCCAAGG